ATAGCTGCAGTGGTCTTTCATGCCGATTTGAGGGCAGGCGGGTTTCAAGATGAATTACTGGCCACAAATTGGGTCTTTTCAAAAACTCAACTGTGAATTTAGCAGACTGTTATACATAATGATATTCCAGGAAATTAAGTAAATATTATTATTATGAAATCATACTTGAATCTGAGTTGTATTGCAAGACCATTACAACAAAGCAACTAATAAAACAAACAAAAAATGTTGTACTGTAATAGGTGAATTAGATACTTTCTTCAGTAAATCAAAAATCGTAGATATCAAATTTTCATGGAATATATAGTTGCCCCGGGTAATGTGATGTCATGTTACTATAGTAACCATAACTCTATCTGCATTTTATCTTTTTCTGAAACTTTAAAATATTAGTTGCGATACTTCAAAGTACAATTTGTGAAAATTTCAAGACACTTGGTACAGAATTGACAAAATGCCAGCACCAGTCCTGTTTCTTTTGGAACACCCTGTAGACCATACCTGAATGGAAAATGTGATCATTCTCAAACTTGAAATCATAGATAAGTATCTACATAGATGAATTCATGAAAATCCATCATATTTGAGAAATATATTCCAAAATGAGAGGATAATGTTTTTTGGGTCAACCTGTATATGGGGGTGTACATGTGAATTAGGGAGCATGCGTGGTACAAATGTCCATGGAAATTTAGCAAAAAAGAGAACCCCTTTGAGAAATCTTGGCTACGACCTGAGTATAGCAGCAGTCACATCAGAATGTATTTTTAAGGCTGATTGTAGACGCTGAAACTCGCATTTGTTTAAACTCATACTTATCCATGATCTTGGCAAGTTCAATTTTTTTCGATATTTTCGATGAAATTAATTTCATCGAAAAAGTATATTTTTCAGGTTTTCAAAAGTTTCCATTCTTCGATCTTATCAAAAAATCGAGTTCACTTCATTTTAAATCATTCAAACTTGACAATATGGGTGCCATTCAATATTTTGGCTAAAGCTTAGAAAATGTTATAAAGCTATCTAAAGTTAAAAGGGTAAGGGGTAGTGTTGTCGCGATTAATCGATACATCGCGATATACATCGCCAAAGCTGGTTCTGGCGAAGCAAATTGCTTACCTTTTTTCATGTCTTATTTCATTTTCCAATGTTTTCTGATATTCTTTCGCTTTAAAACTGTTTTAGCTAGTCGAAATGAACCATTAATCTAAAAAAATTACTTTACTTTCATTTCACCGTTACTAGAAGTTCCCGGATGTACCACTGTACTCTTATTAATTTGTTCTGTTCGGTATTTTAGTGCATTAGCGTTCGGTATTTTAGTGCACTTTTCTCTAACTTTTTCTCGATCTACATCGCGATGTGCATCAATGTTTACTACTGAAAATTGCCGATGCATCGATGTACGATTATGCCACATCGCGACAACACTAGTAAGGATTATTTTTAAATCATTCAAACTTGACAAAACAGCTAAAGCTTGGAAAATGTTATAAAGCTATCTAAAGTTAGGGTAAGGGGTTGAGTTTAGTGTTTAGGGTTAAAGTTAGGGTTAGGGCTGAAGATTCAGAATTAAGGTTGGGGTTCAGGGTTAGGGCTTAGGTTATGATTAGGAGTTTAGTTGAACTTAGGGTTTGGGTTTAGGGCTTAGAGTTAAGGGGGTTAGGGATAAGAGTTAAAGTTAGGGTTAGAGGGCTTAAGTTTAACATTAGGGTTAGGTTTTATGATTTAGGGTTAAGGTTAAGGCTTAGGGTTAAAGGTTGAATAAAGACTATAGAAGAAATTTGGGAGTCATTTTACCTTTCCCGAGCTATTAGTGCAACGTTTGGCCTAATGTCTTCTTCACCATACCTATTTTCTTAAAATATATGCACTTGTCGACGAATACCACCAATCAGACTTGCAAATAGACTTCTAAATAAGCAATTGAAAGGTTGGACGTCCCGCATTTTGTTTTTTGAAACATTTCTAAATCTCCGCCATTTAAAATTCTTGCTGCAGCTGAGATAGGTAAGACCGCATGTTACAGTATAACCGCGGTTGTCTGATATAACCGTATGCATGGAACCCGATATGACCGCCGTTGACGGTCTATTACCGGCGACTCTTGCAGTTAATCTGATCCACTGACGAAGAAAAATCAAAAAAAATCTAAGACTAAAACACCTCAAATCTGCCAATATTCAAGGTCTTCTTGACACGCGCATGGTATAAAGGAAACAGAATGTTCGATAGAACGTTAGGTGAAAACGGGGCTGGAATCCAATGACAATATAACCGGGAAATCATTAAAAGGTACGTGAGCATTTTTTCTGTCGATGTCGGGAGAAAATTCCCGGGGATTTAGGATGCCAGTGATTGTGAATATCGGCAGAAATTAGGTACGTTCGGGGGTTTTCTTTGTAGCTAATGAAAATAGATGTTAGCCTTGATGAAATATTCAAAATTCGATATATTTTGACACCAGGACCATGATCGTTGGATACGTCTCTGCACTATTTATTCAACCTTTAAAGTTAGGGTTAGGGCTGAAAATTTAGGGTTGGGGGTTAGGACTTATGATTTGGGATTTAAGTGATATTTAGACTCGATTGGAGAAAATATCAAAATGATCGAAATACAATCTGCAGAAATAATCTTTTATCTTATACTCAAAAATTTTGAAAATATTGAAGTGTTCAAAATATTAAGGTTCTTTAGCATTTCGGCTAAAGAGCCTTAAATTTTAAGGCTCTTTAGCATTTTGATAGCCAATTCTGCTAGAGAGCCTTAAAAGGAATTCTAGGCGACAGAAATGACAAAATATTGTTTCTGGCACGAGATCAAACGACTTTGACTATTCTAAACCCAATCTATTTTGTAATTTAACAATCAGCACAAATATACTCGTACATACCATATTAAGCAGATATCGGAGAAATTCATAAAAAATATTTTTTGATCGATAAAATCACTGATTATTAAACCAGAAGTGTCTTCTCTGAGGTCTGCGGAAGAAGATGAAGAAAACATATAAAGATTTCAATCATTTCAAATTTGCCGTCGATTTAATTTTAAATGGTTCTAAATGATCTTCGAATGCTTACTATGACTTCTATTAGTACTGTTTTGACTTCCCCACTTCATAAAAAGAACATTATCACTTTTTACTCAACTCATAAATTTACTTGTTACCAAGAAAAATAAAAGTTCTTAAAACCTTTTCAATCCTCAGTCTAAATTTGGCTTTTTAAAGGTTCAAACATGGACTTTGAACATGGACTAAGAAGAGAAGGTGTAAGACCAGGCAATCACATATATAGCCAGAAAAATGTTATTTTTACCATTGTTATCCTCTTTAAATCGATTTTTTGCCACCTTCAAATGGGATTCCCTGTATTCTCTAAGCTTGTGACTATAGCAAAGCCAGAAAGTAATTAAATTCATTAAACATGGATGATTGAGCGATGGAGCAAGCCCACAAATTCTAGAAAAATTGTGTACATTATTTCTGGACCTCAGAGAACAAACTTAGAATCAAACCCACGCCGCAGAAGTGCAAGGCCAGCACCCTAACCACTATACCAGAGTGGGTTTTTGCAACTGTATAGTGATATACATGTGTGATATTTTTAAGAAAAACTTTCGAGACTGTTGTTTTATTGTTTAAATTATGAAAACATCAATAAAAAACAATATAAACACAAATTATAAACACAAAGTCTCTCTAGCCAAAATACTATCTTCACAGCTAAATAGCCTTAAATTTTAAGGCTCTTTAGCATTTTGGCTAAAGAGCATTTTGGCTAAAGAGCCTTAAAATCTAAGGTTCTCCAGACACTTCGAAAAAATATCGATATATCGAAAATATCGAAATTGCCAAGAACCTGGATAGTCCCTACGGCTATGTATAAGAAGGTACAATTCATTAAAATACATAAAAATATTTGTTAAAATACATTACAATAGGTCAACAATACTGGTAAATATCAGTTATACAAAATTAATCATGAAACAGACTTATTTTCATGGTGATTACACAAAATAAAAATGAATTTAATAAAATCAACGTTTTAATATTATTCTTTATTTATATCAACTAAAAATGTTTTTGATAGCTTATTAAAAGTAGAGTCTTGATTGTGCCATCAGTAAATACCTACGTCCTCCCCAAAAATCCAACATCTTTTAATGTCATAGTTCCATAAATTAATCAACAAAAATAATCAGACTTCATGTAAAGTCCATATAATAACAATGCACTATATGGCATTTCAGATTTTAGATTTGCCAAAATATATTGGTATATACATATATCTCCAAAACCCTGAATTTATGGAATAATACTCAATCAGTAACTCATATTGATGATATAATTTTTACTGTTGTCTTGACTTTAATCTTAAACGATATGTTGCCAGAGAAGATTGTTACCTTGTAACTCTATATCCATAGGTGTTCGATGGGTGCTTTTTATTTGAAGCTTCTGGCTCAATTTTGAAGGAAGTTGCTTTAACTTTTGTAAAATTCAAAACAAATCTTAAAAAAATTTTTTTTGGTTGCTTATGCCACAATCGCAATCCCCCCGACTGAACTTTTTTTGGCTATCGCACCCCCCCCCCTTAATGAAAGCTGACTACGCCCCTGATGTCTATTAACAACTACATGTACCTTCTATGGATTAATGCACCCAGAAAGAAAACATATTGAGTTTTGTGAACAAAGTTATCTTACAAAAATAAGCTTTCATCCAATATACATGATATAAGTGATATTGGCAGAACATTTTCCTTTACTACCTGAATGCTTTGATATTGAAAGCTATTCACCTAATACAGTCATATCTGATAAAAAATATACCACCAATACAAAGTACAAATTTGCTTTTGCTGACAAGGTGAACCTATAGAATCACTCACTTGTCATCTGTCAAGTTCATAGTGGAGATAAAGGCCAAATATATGTTACATTCATCAGAAAAATATTTGATAAATTAAGATACATATAATATTTACATATCTTTTATTGACTTTTAAACATGTCAGTCTCTCCCACATATGGGTCACTATACAGTTTTTTACATGTTTTTTGTCTTCACTGCAGTTTATTTGACCTACAGTATTCTTGTTTATGTTCATTTCCTGTTTATACATTTTACATCATATATCATGCTTATATAGAAATTCATATTCATCACAATTTTCTAAAGTAATATGGAGAAGGGCTGCTATATTCTGCCTATAGTTCCACAGGCTAAATTAGTTATATCATGCTTACTTTCAACTTAAGCAGGATGTTTATCATCACCAGAATCATTTTCAAGCATTGTATTCACATATACATGGTCTGTTTCAGTTTTATGACTCAAGGTATGTAATTCAGTCAGTGATGTATAGTTATGTTGGTCTTGTTGCATGTCATCATTGATATGTTCATAAACATTGTGACTGTCATCATTTGTGACTGTTAATTGTTGTATGCCCATTGGAACATCATGAATTTCTTCATAAGTGTCATCCTCTTTAGTATTCACTTCACTTGTTGAGCTGTTGTGTTTGGGTTTATGAGTTTTTCTTTTACACACAATTACGAATACTAAAATGATAACTAAAAAAGCTAAAACTGATATTCCACTTGCTAAACCAATGACTGTGGAATTATCTGTTGGTTGGCCAGAAGAGGGGTTTTCTTTGTCTGATGATTCTGTTGTATGGGGAGATGATTCTGATGTTAGAGTAGATGGTTCTGATGTTAGAGTAGATGGTTCTGATGTTAGGGTAGATGATTCTGTTGTTAGAGTAGATGGTTCTGATGTTAGAGTAGATGGTTCTGATGTTAGGGTAGATGATTCTGTTGTTAGAGTAGATGGTTCTGATGTTAGAGTAGATGGTTCTGATGTTAGGGTAGATGATTCTGTTGTTAGAGTAGATGGTTCTGATGTTAGAGTAGATGGTTCTGATGTTAGGGTAGATGATTCTGTTGTTAGGGTAGATGATTCTGTTGTTAGGGTAGATGGTTCTGATGTCATGGTAGATTGTTGTTCTATTTTCTCTGTTGAAGACTGTGTTTTATAGGTTGTTTTTGAATCAGCCAAAGATCTTATATTTAAACAGAAATCACTAGCCCTCATTGCAGTGATATCATTTATATGTTCAGGTGGTATTGTGGTTATGCTGTTTCCTCTCAAATATAACTTTGTCAGCATTGGCATGTATTTACACACATCATGTGGTACATCTTGAAGTTGATTATTTCGTAAATCAAGATATAATAATGATGTCAAATTACTGAATATCCCATCTGGTAATATTGCTATGTCATTGCTAGAAAGGCTAAGTGTTTGCAGTGATGTCAAGTTACTGAATATTCCATCTGGCAATATTGCTATGTCATTGCTAGAAAGGCTAAGTGTTTGCAGTGATGTCAAGTTACTGAATATTCCATCTGGCAATATTGTTATGTCATTGCTAGAAAGGCTAAGTGTTTGCAGTGATGTCAAGTTACTGAATATGTCATCTGGTAATATTGCTATGCCATTGTTATACAGGAAAAGTGTTCTCAATGATGTTAACTTATTGAATATCCCATCTGGTAACATAGTAATGGCATTGTTCCTAAGGTCAAGATATGTCAATGATGTCAAGTTACTGAATATGTCATCTGGTAATATTGTAATGGCATTGCTCCTAAGGTCAAGATTTGTCAATGATGTCAAAGTACTGAATATGTCATTTGGTAATATTGCTATGTCATTGCTCCCAAGGTCAAGATTTGTCAATGATGTCAAATTACTGAATATGTCATCTGGTAATATTGCTATGTCATTGCTAAAAAGGTAAAGTGTTTTTAGTGATGTCAAACTACTGAATATGCCATCTTGTAATATTGCTATGTCATTGTTATAAAGGCTAAGTGTTCGCAGTAATGTTAACTTATTGAATATCCCATCTGGTAACATAGTAATGGCATTGCTCCCAAGGTCAAGATATGTCAATGATGTCAAATTACTGAATATGTCATCTGGTAATATTGCTATGTCATTGTTATGCAAGTAAAGTGTTTGCAATGATGTTAACTTATTGAATATCCCATCTGGTAACATAGTAATGGCATTGCTACTAAGGTCAAGATATGTCAATGATGTCAAGTTACTGAATATGTCATCTGGTAATATTGCTATGTCATTGTTATGCAAGTAAAGTGTTTGCAATGATGTTAACGTATTGAATATCCCATCTGGTAACATTGTAATGGCATTGCTCCCAAGGTCAAGATGTGTCAATGATGTCAAGTTACTGAATATGTCATCTGGTAATATTGCTATGTCATTGTTATACAGGAAAAGTGTTCGCAATGATGTAAACTTATTGAATATCCCATCTGGTAACATTGTAATGGCATTGCTTCCAAGTTGAAGATATGTCAATGATGTCAAATTACTGATTATGCCATCTGGTAATATTGCTATGTCATTGCTAGAAAGGTAAAGTGTTTTTAGTGATGTCAAACTACTGAATATGACATCTTGTAATATTGCTATGTCATTGTTATAAAGGCTAAGTGTTCGCAGTAATGTTAACTTATTGAATATCCCATCTGGTAATATTGTAATGGCATTGCTCCTAAGGTCAAGATATGTCAATGATGACATATTACTGAATATGTCATCTGGTAATATTGCTATGTCATTGTTATACAGGAAAAGTGTTCGCAATGATGTAAACTTATTGAATATCCCATCTGGTAACATTGTAATGGCATTGCTTCCAAGTTGAAGATAGGTCAATGATGTCAAGTTACTGAATATGTCATCTGGTAATATTGCTATGTCATTGCTCATAAGGTTAAGATATGTCAGTGATGTCAACTTACTGAATATCCCATCTGGTAATATTGCTATGTCATTGCTAGAAAGGCGAAGTATTTGCAGTGATGTCAAGTTACTGAATATGTCATCTGGTAATATTGCTATGTCATTGCTCATAAGGTTAAGATATGTCAGTGATGTCAACTTACTGAATATCCCATCTGGTAATATTGCTATGTCATTGCTAGAAAGGCGAAGTATTTGCAGTGATGTCAAGTTACTGAATATGTCATCTGGTAATATTGCTATGTCATTGCTCATAAGGTTAAGATATGTCAGTGATGTCAACTTACTGAATATCCCATCTGGTAATATTGCTATGTCATTGCTAGAAAGGCGAAGTATTTGCAGTGATGTCAAGTTACTGAATATGTCATCTAGTAATATTGCCATGTCATTGTTATACAGCAAAAGTGTTCGCAATGATGTTAACTTATTGAATATCCCATCTGGTAACATTGTAATGGCATTGCTACTAAGGTCAAGATATGTCAATGATGTCAAATTACTGAATATGTCATCTGGTAATATTGCTATGTCATTGTTATTAAGCGTAATTGTTCGCAATGATGTCAACTTATTGAATATCCCATCTGGTAACATTGTAATGGCATTGCTCCCAAGGTCAAGATATGTCAATGATGTCAAACTACTGAAAATCCCATCTGGTAAAATTGTTATTTGATTGTCTTTCATGCTTAATACTTCTAATGAATCTAAACCAGAGAAAGCACCAGTTTCAATTATACTAATGGCATTGTAGTCCAAATAAAGTGTTTTTAGATTAGGATATTCCTTGAACGTGCCTTCTGTTAGTTCTGTCAGTCCCTTCCTTCTCATATCCAGGAATATGACATCAGGGGATTGGATGGTCACTTGGTACATGATGAACATCACAAGAGTCTTCAACAACACATTCTGAAAGTATATAAATATAAATCTGACTGGATGTCTTTCTCTGTTGTTATTTTGATATTATTTGGACATTCTTTTTTATGATTTTTTACACTCAGTCTTAGGAGCTATCCCTTTTAGGGTGGACGTTAATACATGAATAACAGCAAGGTCAGCAAAAATTTTATTGTTTAATTTTGTCATCTTGATCCACTTCAGGTCTGTTCATATATGTTCTCTAAGAGTTAACGTTAACAATCTCAAGCGTGTTCAGTAGATATACATTATGTAGTTTTATCAGAAGAAGCTAAAAATGTGGACTATTTTTTCATATTTACCTCAGTGCCACCATCTTTATATATATTGCATTGTTCATAATATTACATAATGGTATGTAAATAAGATGAATTTACATATAGCTGGGCAAGGTGTGTCCAATTCCAGCCAATCAGAACATGCTATCTCACGTAAGTGCATTCTATTATATAACCAATAACGAACTCAAGCCCGGAGGGGGAGGGTACCCATATATTGAAAAATCCCGAGATGTGGGTCCCATTTTGAAGAAAAAATGAGATTTGTTCAAGAAAGAATTTTCAAAATGGCAGCTGAATTTCAAAATGGCCACCATTTTTCATAAAAAACGTAATCTTTGATAACTCAAATATTAGTTGACAGATTTGGTATATGCTGATGTCTAGGGACAAAGGAGCTACCCTGAAGAAGAGATTTTCAAAATGGCTGCTTAATATCAAATGGCGGCCATTTTTCGTAACAAACTTAATCTTTTATAACTCAAATACCAGTGAACGGATTTGGTTCAAATTTTATATGCTGATGCCTGAATTTCAAAACGGCCGCCATTTTTCATAAAAAAACGTAATCTTTGATAACTCAAATACTAGTTGAAGGATTTTGTTCAAATTTTATATGCTGATGCCTGGGGATAAAGAAGCTACGCTGAAGAAGAGACTAAAAATGGCTGCTAAATATCAAAATGGCAGCCATTTTTCGTAAAAATCGTATTCTTTGATAACTCAAATACCAGTGAACGGATTTGGTTCAAATTTTATATGCTGATGCCTAGGGACACAGTAGCTCTGTTTGAGAACAATTTTCAAAATGGCGGCTGAATTTCAAAATGGCTGCCATTTTTCGTAAAAAAGGAATGTAATCTTTGATAAATCAAAGGCTAATTGATAGATATGGTTTACATTTTATATGTTGATGCCTAGGGACATACAAGCTCTGTTCAAGAAGGAATTTTAAAGATGGCCACTAATAAGCAAAATATGTTTTGTTCAGTGTGATTAGCTACTCTGTGGAGTTGCTGTTTTTCTAGTTTTGACACGTCAAGTAATATTAATTAATAAATAATTAATCATATGTCACCTACCATTCATTTACTTAATTATAACATTTAAATCTTAATTCCACAGTGCAGTGAGATTTATTAAAATAAATGTTCGGTTCTTCAGAAATATTTGCTATTGAATAATATTATTTTATGTAAACATTAGTTCTACAGTGAGAAACAACTATGGACAATTTAAGATATGATTTGTGTTTTATACTTATTTTATACCTAAGAAATCTCAGTGAAGCCCCAGAAACTTTGAAAAGTCAAAGGAAGGTTTTTTTATCAAAGGACAGATACTGTATGAACTTCTAGTAACTTTAAAATGATTTTTTGAGAAATGGGTCTTTGCATTGAAAATATGAATGGACTAGGCATGGTTAATATTGTATTTAGCAGTCATATCTTTGACCATTAGTGTTTTTTACCATAAAATAAAACATTCTTTTTCAAGGTAATATGTTTTTCCCTATAAGTAAGGTTCCCAGCATAATCAAAATCTCAACCAAGTGAAAAACCACGGATTAGGACCCTACCTCAACATATATTGTCAGACTTATTTTCTAAAAGAGGATCTCGTTTTTCTATGGTGTTCCTAGCAATGGATTTTCAAAGAGTTGGATTGAGATTTTATTAAATATACTTGAGAAGACTTTATTTTTATGACATATTTCTGATTTTGTATGTGTATAAGGCTACACTATAATCATAGTCAATAAATGCCAATCATTTATCAAATATCCAATGGAACAAATTAACCCGTCAAAATTTTACTCTCATTGGCCATTGTGCGAACACCAGGAAATTGCAATTTTTCCTAAAAGTTGTGCCAGGGAGTGCACTAGTTGCAATGGAAAAACAAAATCTATGTGCAGCATAGACACATAATAAAAAATAGCACAAAATGCTGAAACAATTACTAAGATAGCCTTTACATCTAATTTATTCTTGAATTTTTTACCTTCAAAAGCATAGGAATTTTAGGAAATAGATACTATAAATACTGTATATAATATAAATACTCCAAATAGTAGTTTTTCTTAGATTTTACAATCTCTCATAAGGAAAAGTTAACATACCTGTCCAAATGCCATTGTTATGTTTGCTTTTCTCTTTCATCAATAAATTGCTCTGTCGCTTGGTTCTTGTGGTCCCAATTTTATAATAGGGCTATTATATTTAAAATGTATTTACTGTGATACTGCAAGTTTCTTTTTCCAAAAAATTGTCCTGCCTTAAATAATATTTTCAGATGTTATGTTGTTTTCAAGTTGTATGTCTTGTAGATTATCACTTTCTTCAGCATCAAAAATGGATAAATGTTAAGTGTGCAATGCCTTCTGTATTTTGCTGAATTGTTCTTTTTACATAACCAGCGCAAATTATAGTATTCTTCCGACTTGTGCTTTTATATTTAGTATATTTTAACAGCATGGTTTTAATTCAGTCGAAATTGTCAGTGTAATTAGATGATGATTTTGTTTTAAATATTTCCCAAGCACTTGCTTCAAGTAATCCCCACCAATGATTAATGGTTATAATGCAAATATCAATACAGTAGTTATTTATTTGAATAAATTGATTTAAAGGAAGAGGTGCGTTTATTGGCAAATACCCCTATGGTCAAAATGAATAATTCTTAGGTGTAACATGAAGAATAGAATGTCATATAACTCTTTGGAAAATATTAAAGTGCTCGGGCACACATAGGCTGAGATAGGGGCCATTTAGTTTAGTGAGGTTGTATTGACTTACATGGGGCTGTTCATCATTGACTTAACATGAGGATATCAGCAGATCCCAATAGAGGCCATTGGTTTCTATTAGTTATCACAAAAATACCAAAAATACACTATGACCTGAATCGATTGCAAACTTAATAATTTCACAATATGACACTATTGGTTTATCTCATCAAATGTGCAAATATGAAGTTTGCAATCGATTCAGGTCATACCTAAAATTAAAAGATTGTACATTTTTTCATCATTTTTTCCCCTACAAAATGGCTATATTAGAAAAATGCTCCAAAAACAACTTTTACACTTATCAAAAATCATACAACTTTGTAAAACCAAAGAATATACTATTTTATTCCATTATGTAGTAACATATTTGGATAAGATGTAGGGATGCGTAGGATGCAAATGGATTTTGACAGACACAAAAATACTTCCTGGTTTGGAATCATATGCCTCTACACTTCATGATTGAATTATGACCTTAACAAGTGGCCTATACATCGGAGATCCCAATGGAGGGTGTATAAGGTGTGATTAGATATTGCACTTACATGTATAATATAGAATTTAAAACATTCTGTAATACAGTCTAAAAACATATATGAACTCCTGTTAGCTAAAGATGATTTTGAAGAGATTTGGTTATTCAATTGATATGAAAAATGTGGATGGACCAAGTATGGTATATTGCATTTAGCATTCATATCTGACCATGAGTGTTTTCTCTAACCATAAAATAGAAAATTTATCATTACAAGACAACAGAAGACAAGACAACAATATTTCTTCCCCTAAAACTACAAAATGAACAAAATCTTCTGTCCAAATGCATTTGAAAATATCAAAATGTTTCAATTAAATTGGGTAAGTAAGTACAATGTACTACATGAGTGTTGTAAAAAACTGGTTGATATTTCAAGAAATTAATGTGCTGTGCTGATACCATCTATACAAACATATGATTTGGAAGGGTTTACTAGAGAATTAGAAATGCTTGACTTTTTGTTGTTCATAGTATAAAAAACGAAAAACAGAGCATTTTAATATGATCGTTGTAGAAATTACACATTTGTCTGAACATTTCAGTTTCATGTTTAGCTTTTGCTTCATCATCCGATATATTGGCAGAAAATATATATACAGTACTGTATATAGAAAATTGAATTCATTATGCATGTACTTTGCACTTATTTTATTGAATACCTAGCTATCCCACAAACTCCTCTGACATTTGAACAAACCCACAAACAGTCTATTACAGGTCAAATTGTCCACTTCTGAACTTGAACCATATTTGGTTTTCCATGTATTACATTTCATACATCCGCATATGTTTGGTATACTGTTTGCCTGTAAAATGCCCTGTCCATAATACATGTATTACTATATGTGTTTTTCAGAAGTAACCAGTCTATTAGCAGATACCTGGAGACTGTGTCATCAAACAGGTGTAACAAGAATGCCTCATCTTCAGCAAGACTACGTACAGAGGGAAATGACCTCTTTAAGAAGAGGAAATACGATAAAGTATTGGAGAAGTACACACAAGTAAGATGTTAAAATGGTCCATACATTGTACTAACTTGTACCATATTCTCTGTAATTAGCACCCGGGCCGCTTAGAAAATTTAAAATCAGATATTTCCAAATTGTTAGAGTTGACAACTAGATTGCTTCCTTTTCATCATAAGATTGATTGATCCTGAAATAAAGTTAGAACTGAAGGACTATGTAGAAAATATGCACAACATTTGTAAAATTTTCGAAACTTATAATTTGCCCTTTAGTCACTTTAGTCCTAGCAGTTGGAAACGAACCATATGTTCCCTAGATTTGCACCCATAACCTTTAAAGGCACACAACTGATCCCTAATTTGATATTGACCAATACGTTGATGAATGTACCTTGATCGGCCTGGTCTTTTTCAGAGTATCCTATGTGCTCCTGTAGACACTGAGGGGAAGGAATTGGCACTGGGGTATGCTAATAGGTCTGCTGTTCTATTTCACAAGAAATTATATCAAGTAAGTTGAGAGTATATAACATCCGAAGTGTGACCAGGCTCCAGTGACCCTGGCTTTTATTGGTTATATTTTGTAATAATGTAGCTAATCATGTCACCACCAAAAAGTAGTGACATATTGTTACCGTCTCTGTTTTTTGTGACGGTGCTCGGTGATCGGTGGTTGGCGTCTGTAATGGCAGTGACATTTTGCATGTTTAATGCCTTGTTATTCGTAGCAACAATAGGAGTTGTTGGATTGACTCAGGAGTCTTGTTGCAGTTTACACTGTCCACATCACAAGGTGTAGATTTCATTAGAATGGGCACTACATTTTTGTGCCGATCTTGACCAATATTATTCCAATCTCACCTTCTTATATTTAAAATTCTCATAAATCATACAGCGATTTTTTTGTCTTCAATATGAACGGTTTTGTTCTATTCCACACCAGTTTAGTCCATTGTGTAGGCTTTTTATCAGCTAAATGCAATGTAAGATTGTACATACATACTTGGCAATGCTAAATGTAATACATTATTGATTTCAGCTATAATAGGTTATATTACATTTTCAGCTGAGAACAAAACAGGATTTTATAATATATTTCAGTTATGCCTAAATGACACGGAGTCAGCACTGAAGCATGGTTACCCAGGCAACCTACACTACAAAATATACCAGAGACAAGCTAACTGCTATCTGAAACTGGGAGAGAAAACCAAGGCTGACAAAGGTAACTGATACTGGGTATAAAGCTTGTATGCCCCCTCCCCCTCTTTACAACATACACCCTTATCTATGCTATGATATGTTATAATATGTTAATACACTGTTGGAAATTGTTAATTTAGATCGAAAGTTCTTTCTGTAACTAGGTGAGTACCAGTGAACATGAATGCCACAACTTTTCAGGCTGTCAGTTAGTCCATTGCACAAGTCCATTACCAGAATAAAAGAGAGTCTCAGTGAGAACCGTAGTCATTCAAAATTCCATTCTATTTGCCTTGGTATTTCAGCTGCAGGAAATTTATTGAAGGAATGATGAACATGTCAATGAAAACACTACTACTACTACTAGTATTTTTGGAAGTATTTGCAAAATGATTTCAAGGCTGATTGCCATTTTTGACATAATTCTTTTGTGTTAATCTCTTTGAAAAGCTTTTTTAGAAAACTGACCTGTGGAGCTTCAATTACTCTAGAAAAGGAAATTTTGTTTTTTGCAGCATGTGAAGCTGCTAATGAGAATCTCAACAATGTGGCAACTGATCTCTCAGATGATAAAAAGGGTAAGGCTAGAGTACTTGAATTCTTTGTTAGGCATTATTAAAACAGTCAAGGGGAGAAATCTAGCCTCGGCCAGTGTGTAAGCACACTAGATTGTCCAAATATAAATTCTGGTACATACATTTTGAATGACCTGCTGTGCTAATTATGCAGTTAATGCTTGATCTACATTTGATATTTTGGAGGAAAACTGTATCAAGGACACTCGTATTTCAAATTTTAATCATAAAATAATTTGATGTTTCATGAAGCCTCAACTCTGAAGGATATTGAAACATTGTGTGCAAAGATAAAGTTAGAGGATGTATCATACCCAGCATGCAACACTGATGTGACACCACTGAGGGTGACTTATGGGAAGAATGATGTCATTACCCAAGCATCTGCAGCCATCAATGTGAAGGTGAACAAACAGCAGGGGAGATTTCTAGTGGTATGTTGTTTTTAATATTCATCACACATGCTCTCATAATATTGGATGTTTGATGATTTAGACCAGTGACAATTGGGCCAAAATAGCGCATTTGAATGAGAGTTGCACTGTATCCTATATGTGCCAGTATGAATTTTTTATTAAGTATATTGAAGTGTAAAAAGGATTGACAACTAAGAGGCATTAATAACAATGGAACATTTTTAAGGTTACAGAATGGTGTTAAGTCCATTACTCGACACTATCAAATCTTTTTATATATCTTTCCTGTTAATCCATTCCTGTTTCACTAGGCAAATCAGGACATTAAGGCTGGGGACACTCTGATTGTTGAGAAGCCATTCACTGCGGTCCTGTTACCAGATCACTATGACAACCACTGTCATCATTGTTTTGTTAAACTCACAGCTCCACTTCCGTAAGTATTAATCTAAGGTGACAAAATGCTTTTTAAGACTAAGCCCTCCACAACCTATTGTTGATGTCACTTGTAAAAATCTAAATATGAAAATAAAAACAATAACTTATACGTATATGTATATGTATCTTTACATATTTGCCAAAATTAGAGCCTTGTCTGCCTAGATTTTTTGAAAATGTCTCCCCCAAACCATTTAGGTCTTTGTCTTCAAAATCTCTAGAATTTCATGTGCAGTAAATGATAAAATAAATTTATAGTGAATTTCGCTCAAATTATCTGTTTGAACAATTTCATTTATTATTTTAGCTTGTCTTTGATGTTTTGAACTTGAACTTTTGGAGATGATATAATTTTGTACTTCACTTTTAATTTAACAGTATGTCAACCCAGTTCATGATTTAAAGTCAGAAAATTAGAATAAAATGTCAATTTTTCAACAAGGAAGTTGAAACTTTCAGATTAAAGTGTACTACTTTCAACTGATTGAGAAAACTAAACATGATAAGTTGTCATGTTTTCCTCATTTATGGAAGGATATGCTGGACATTTTGATAAATGAGAAGTGGTAGAAAGAACTCAGTGATAGAATGCAAATTGTATACATGTATGATGAAAAACAGTTGTTTTCCCTGCGTTTTTCAAATTACTCTATTATCATAACTTGATTATTATTTAAGAATTCAATCTATTTTACTTATACAGTTTTCTCAATCATCAGCCATTATTCGATATTCCATTATATTTATAAAGTAGCATGTGCACTTGTTAGAGGGTGGGTGCTACATTATATGGTATTTCCTGAATCCTAATATTAGAACAATATACAATTATTGACCTCTACAGAGGTTTACTGTCAAAATTATATCCCGAGACTGTAAACCGAGACCGTAGGTCGAGGTTTACCGTCGAGGGATATAATTTTGACAGTAAACCGAATGGAGAGGTCTATAATTGTTTTGTTAGTCCGAAGAATATCTTAAAAATGACCCTTGAAGTTGACTTGAAGTTGGATCCAGACCCTCGAGACGTTCATGTTGTATTTCAGTATATCAGCTGTAAGTTCACTCAATGGAGTCAAATTACTCTCCTGGGCGAAGTCCACTAAAAGCTTTGCACAAAGTTTTAGATTTTTCTTCGTATTTTGACTGTCTTTACTCTCTAAGAGACTAATAATATCCTCATCTTCAACATTTTTGAAACGGCTAGTGCTAGCGGCGGCCATTTTATCGTCTGATAATGACGTCATTTTAGTGGAATGCTGGGAATATTATTCACCGGCAATGCATTGCGCGGTGTACAGTTAAAATTATTCACCGCTCGTTGACCAATCAAAATCGAGTATTTCAACTGAGGTACTAACAATATATATTAATTCCTCCTAAAATCCTGAAGTTACAATTCATAGGTATAAAACTTTATGCTCCTCTCCTAGAGTACTGATCCAATTTATTTATTTGCTAGGTGTCATCAATGCATTGAAGTAAAGTATTGCTCAGAAGTGTGTAGAGCCCAGTCTTGGAGCACATACCACAACATAGAGTGTGGTTATCTGGATCTCCTACATTCTGTAAGTAACCATGACAACACTTGAACACTTCACAACATATAGTTCGTTTCTTGAGTCCACTTCATTTTTTTTTTGTAAGTTACCATGGCAACATATTGCAACATAGAGTGTGGTAACCTGGTAACACACTGTAGGCAACCATGACAACATATCAAAACATATAGTTTTTTTTCCTGGGTCTCCTTCATTCTGTAAGTAACCATGGTAACCATATTGCTTTAAACTTTATCGCATTTCAGTACCCTTCCCCCTTTAAAAAGTTACTGACAGTGCAAAAGAAACTTTTTATATGGTTCAAATGAGAAAAGGAATGTCCTATTTTAGAAAATAAGATGGGGTCCTAAACAGTGGTTTTTCAAACAAAATGGATTGATATTTTTAACATCCTTTTTTCACTAAGGGTGCAATATTTGTTTAAAACTTATTAGTATTCACATTATGTTCCAGATAGGGGTGGCACATTTGGCATTGAGGACAGTACTTGTTGCTGGCCTTGAAACATTACTTGGTGAGTCGTCTCATTCTTACATCTCAGTTACTTTAGTTCTCATGGAGATTTTAGCATTTTTGTCCTCAAAATCACTAGATGATTATCATAGATATACTTTCAGCTTCAAGTCTTTAGCCTTGTACTTGTAAAATGTTTTATTTCATGGAAAATGCTCTTGAAATTTTCAGATCATCGTAGTTCATTAAGCACTGCTCCGATTGGGCAGTCAATAGCTGGCGCTGATAGTTCAGGTTGGTATGGCAACACATATACAGCTGTTTATCACCTGATGCCACATGAAGAGGACATGCTGATTGAAGATATGTTCCAGTATACATTGGTTAGTGATCTTGTCATTTGTCATTTAAAAATGCAATTCTGGGTTAAAAGGTATACATATACTTGGCCAAGGTCAAAATACAATGATCTGGGAATTGGGTATTGTAGACACTATCTTAGACCCCCCTCCCCTTAGACTGTATTTTGTGAAGACAATCCCCAAGAAAGTGCAACAAAATTGTCAAAATTTGGGAGTGTTTGTCAAATGTAGCATAAAGTTCACAATAAGTTGAACCATGGATAATCCATTGGAATCACTTTGTATCTCATTCACTGCAATGTAGTGAAACAATCAGTGCTTTATTTTGCAGAAAGTGTAATTTATGTGCATGTCCCCAAAGGCTTAAATATAACATATGATAATGTGCAGTCTAATATATGTCCATCAATGGAGATAACACATTCATAGTATCTCATCTCCATAAAAGGCCATTAAAACTACGTATCGGATTGTTAGGATGCTAACAACATCAAAACACTGTAAAATAATCTGTAATACTTAGAGTGAAGTGTGACAGGTTGATAGGGATCAGGGTATCTAATATAAGGTGTTCACTTGTATGTTTTATTCATGTATTCCAAAATAAAGGAAATTATATTACAAAATCACTACAAAAGGAAATGGTTTCTAAGAAGATTGGAAATAAAAAACAACCATTCAAAGATTTCAATTTCATTCGATTAGTGATACTGAGATAAAGCATTTCGTAAAAAAAGTAACAAAAGATGAAGAAAATAACATTCAAATCTGAATGTTCTAATTTCAATGTGTTTACATACTGTTGTAATATCATTAGGGTAAAAAAATATCAGACTATTTTTTGTGTTTGTTTCTTGTTTGTGATATGCACCCAACTGAACATTCATGCGTATTTATATGGAAATCAAACTAATAAAGGCCGGGAACTGAATATAGAAAAACCCAGTTTCTCAGTCTTAGGAAACAATGAAGATTTAAATAATATATCCAATCAAATACCTGCAATTCGTTCCTTATTTGGAATTACTCAGGATATGTATAGTAATAGAGAACTCTCAGATTTAATGACTGAATATGATAGGTTTGAAAAGGACATTGCAACAAAGGAGAATATATTTGACATTAAGCCAGTTCAATTTCTGAAACATCTGACCAGTCCATGCTGGATTGGACGACTGGATGATGGATTACAAGAAATGGATGATTGTATGTCATGGACGAGTGACTCTGTGGTTTGTAATTCACAGTTCCAAGTACGTTTGGACTTAAGGGAGATATGGACAGAACGCCATAAACAAGGTACTCGATGGCGACTACGCTGCTTGCCATACTATTACATCCTCGGCTCTCCAAAATGTGCAACAACAGACTTGCATTTGAGGCTTGTGCAACACCCAAATATATTGTCATCTAGTGCGAAAGAGTACCACTTTTGGACCAAGAATCGATGGGATAATGATATTGGAAACAACATGATGAAACATTTGAAACCTTATGTTGATGCATTTGACATGGTTGCTGAAAACATTCGAGAAGAATTCACAGAGAATGGTAGAGAGGAACTCATAACTGGAGATGGGACTCCATATTCTGTCTATCATTACCATGGTAACCTAGATGATGAAAACCACTTAACCCTTGATGTAGATTATATCACTCATTTACAACAAGATAAAGTGAGGTTCATTGTCATTTTACGGGACCCGATTGCACGTTTATATTCCGATTATTTCTTCTGGAATAACGTTGAAATTGACGCTGACGATTTTTCATGCAGGATTAATTTTCATTCACTTTGCATCCATGCAATACGCTTGTTTGAAAACTGCTTAGAAAGGAACTCAGTGAAATTTTGTGTGTATCATCAAGCAAATGAAGAAGGTCTGGGTAAAGCAGGAATGTTCAGGATCACTGTTGGAATATATTATATTTTCATTGAAGAACTTTTACAAAGACTCAGTATGAAAAATCTTCTGATTTTGAAAACGGAGGAATATTCGAAAAGTATGAGATCAACATTTAGTGAAACTTTTCGATTCCTTGGTGTACCTTGGGAGAATTATATATTTGAAAACTACCCAGCTATTGTGAAACCAGGAAAGGCTAATGTAAATCAGGTTAGACAAGTTATGCCCAGAATGTATCTTCAAACGACTCAAATGCTGCAAGACTTCTATGGAAAATACAATAAAAAACTCAGTGATTTACTAGGAGGGGATACCTTTCAATGGGGATATTGATATCATACTTCTTTCTAGATTAGAAGGAATACACCCTGATTTCATTATTTAGTACACTACCCTGTACCCTCTGATTAACAGTGATGATTTTACAGTTTTAATATTAACCAGTCAACATACTCTCATAGAACTGTGGTATATCATGTCAGAGCAATGCCTGTCTCTGATTGACTGCCATTTTAAAGGCCTATCGGGATCTAAGAGTATAGGATGATCTTGATACTCTTAAAAAGTGTAGGGATTATGTTAACCCATCAAACCATGGCAGTCGAAAGTACAGGATTTGGTCACATGAATGAACTTAAGTTAAAATGTTACTTTATAATGAACAATGATCATGAGTGTGAAAATGGTAAACTTTATCTTAAGATTCCCTGAACTATATGAGCCTGGCCATAGGAAAACTGGTCTTATCACAAAAATGCCAAAAATGTCCCCACAATTAAGAGGAAAATGTGCTAAATTCAGATCCAACTTTTTGGTCTATATATGCAAGGAAAAATTGTTAGGACATAAACCATGGCTCATTTGAAAGGTTTCTTTGTGCTTTTTAAGATAAACAAAAAATCAGAATATTGTGATAAGACCCCTACTACTAAAACTACATGATTGATAAATGAGCAGTTGTAGAATAAGAATAAAGAATTCAGTTTAAAACTTAATCATGTTTAGTTATTGTTATTTTCTAATGCATGCTGAAACAATCATCTGTTTTTGATTCAATATTGTCATACGGGTCAACAATAGACTAGATGCGAGTAGAAATAATCTTGATTTACGTCATTAAAAATTCAAAATTGAGTCAAAGTGATGTCATATTTCAAATCTACATGTAAAGGTATATCTAGAAATATGGTTTCGAAAATTGTTTATCAACTTTGAAAATTAATTTTTTTTTGAAAATGTAACTTCTAGTTCGGGTTGATTCCCCATAGACCCCATGTTACAAAATCACAAAAAGTGAAATATCTTTTCTTGCATTGGACAGATAACATTTTCTTTTACTGGACATATTTTAATTTACATAACAATTAGATACATAAGGGTTATATGAAAATTGAACCACTAAAACAGATGTAATTGAAGTTAAAGGGAACATTCTACTATACCCGCCATGCTATCTGACCCGAACGAGCCACCTGGTGGTGAAACTGGTAAATACTTACTCGCATCTGCATTATTAATGTCAAACTGAAAACTTATTGGTCTCATCATGGGCTTTCAAAATAGTTGAAAGCCCATGGTCTCATCTTTCATTTTGTGTATCCACTAAACTACCTAGAAAGTTGTTCTACTTTTTCTGTTTCCTCTGCAATAAATGTAAAATATAATATGATAGAATAAGAAAAATAATGATAGCATGACATTCATGATAGAATAACTTGTCAAAACTGTTTAAAACATTGATATTTTTCAGACTGCTGCCTTACTACTCAAATATCTCGAACAAACATCATTCTTTCATCCAATCACATCAGCAATTCAGAGTGAGGCTGGTGACCAATCTCAACCAAACGGACCAATGAAACCATTGACTGAAAAAGAGGCTGTGACCTACATTGGTGGCTTGCTATTAAGGCATATTCAACAGCTTGTATGCAATGCTCATGCTATTACTGAACTGGATGCTGGGGGAGACAACAGGGTTGTCATGACAACCAGTCAAGTACGGGTCGCTACTGCCATCTATCCTACTGCCAGTCTGATGAACCATTCCTGTATTCCTAATATAATCTCAAGGTAGAAAAATACAACAGATTTAAAGGGAGGCATATTCTAGATAAAAGCTAGTTTTTTTCATTAAAGAAAATCCCCCTTCCAAAAGTCTGTTTTGAAACAAAATAGATTATTTGTTGAGTTCAGCATGAAATTATTTCCTCTTAAACCTTTATTTTTGTTTTAGCTTCAATAAGGACACCTTAGTTGTGTGTGCAGTGGAGGACGTGCCAGCAGGGGGCGAGATATTCAACTGCTATGGGCCACATGCTAACAGGATGGACCTGAGAGAAAGACAGGAAGCCCTTAGAATCCAGTATTTCTTTGACTGCACTTGCCAGGCCTGCATCTCAGATGGGAAAAAGGATTTGATTTTCAAGGTAAAATTTATTTACTCCTTGTTTGCATATTATTCCATCACTTTAGTTACCTAACGGCACTGATGTGATTCTACAATGACTATACAATATGTTTTAAACATGATATAAGCATATGTTTTGAGTATGTTAAAGGAAAGCCATGCCCATATGCATCAGATCAGCTGTATTGAGAGAAAATGTTTGGATATAATTCTAAGTATAGAATCTGAATGGATTATATTCTCAAATAAAGTAAAAAGGGATGCTCTTGTTATATCAGATAAAGAACATGTATATAAACATGTATATGTTTATTTCTAGGCTCTTAAATGTCTCGAATGCAGTGGGCCACTAGGACCCCCTGAGCCTGAGATGACATGTTTAGAATGTGGCCATGTGACAACTGACCTTAGTGCTATCAGGACAGTGCTTGACACAAAGAAACTATTCATGGATGGACAGGTTTTGGTTGAGCGGACTAAAGTCAAAGGTTTGTATATCAGATTTGAAACTTAGAAATTAATGTTTTATATGATTATGTAGGTAGAATCACAGCTAAATAGGGGATGAGAAAGTTACTTACATCTGGGCCGTGTATTCTAAGTATTAGAAAGACTAAATGTATAAAGATATAAATGAAAATCTTCTGGAAATTGACTTATATAAGGAAAGAGGTGAAATGAAGCAAGAGACCTGATTGGTCATTGTATATAACATGTAAGTAAAAATATGAAATGTGGATATTAATGTAACATTTATTTGTGTTTTTGACTGTAATAATTGTTACAGTTTAATTACAATATGCAATAACTTAACAAGTTATCATCAGATTAGTTTTAATTTCTGTCAATGTATTTTTGGAAGTATCAGTCTACTATCAGTATTACTAAGACAATCATAAAGAGCACTGTTTACACTTAAAAATGATTACAATTCATGAAGTAGTGAGCTTTAACTAATACTTCAAACATTTGTTAGTGATAACTCGAAAAGTCATTGTCAGATTGACTTGAAATTCATATTGATCAACTTAGGTATGCTATCATCTTCAAATTTTGAATTATATTGTTACCTTGGCAATGAAATTAAGAAATTACACTTGGATAACAGAGTAGCGACATTTTGTCATGGAAATGCCTATTCACAATGTTAAGGGGTATAAAATCAAGATTTTTATGATTTTGATATTGGACTATAATGTTGATTGTTGGAATCTACTATTTCCAGATGCATTGAAGAAGTTACTAGAGTGCTACAATCAAAGAGAGCCAGTGATGTATAAGCACAACAGAGAACTTGCAGAGGTGCAGGACCAAATTGCCAGGTGCTATGCTGAGTTAGGTAAATATGGACCCTTAATTGCAAACATCATCAAGGAATTTTAGCCCAGTCAAAAATGTCAAGCAAATGGAAATCTGCCCAGCTAATAAAGGTTTTTAGCAGTTCAGAATCTAATTAGAATATTTCCACATGATGTAGCTAGATAATTTTGATATGTACAATGTACTTAAAAATACATACATTTATTGTACATAGATAGGGTAAAATGTATTAATATTCCTTTTCCTTCACATTTGCTACTGAGCTGTTCATCATGGTCAGGACAAATTGAGATTGGTCAAGGGAAATGTTAAGGAAATTCCTCATCAACTTAACTATCCTCATAGTAACCCTATCAACACAAAACATCAATATATGGACTCTTCATTGCAGGGGACACAAAGACAGCTTTGAAGTATTTAGACCTTTCCATCACAACAACAGAGAAGATGTTTGGACCAACAAGTATTGAACTGGGTAATGAACTCCATAAAAAGGCAGAAATCATGTTCAATGGAAGGATGGTAAAAGAGGCTTTAGTTGTAATAGAAAAAGCTCTTGATATATTTAAATTGAATTATGGGGAGGACCATGTTGCAGTACAAGAGCTCTTCAATATGAAGGTGTGTTTATTGCAGGCACATAATGATCAGTGGTTGCCATATAAACAGAAAATAACAAACTATAAGTAATGATCACCTTTTGAAATGTGAGTACAGCACAGCTGAATGCAACGTTGAATAGATCGTTCCGATAAATTGTGCCACCTTTTGGTACATTAGAAAAACTATCATGTATTGGCTAAACTGATGATGTCATTGGTTGTAGGTAGAAATCTGACCACGCAAAAACAAACTTATCTAATTTTGAAAAATACAATCTATGACATCATCAAGCTAGCCAATATTTCAAAGTTTCTCTCGTGTATCGAAAGGTGGCAGGATTTATCGGAAAGATCTATTGAATACTTCAGTGAGCACAGTGAACTCTCTCCAGTGGTACATTTGTTGACGGATTGTTATAGTCTCAAACTTTGTTGTGGGTGGTTTTTGGTGTCTGTAACAATTGGCAGGTAGTGACATTTTGCATGTTAAATGTCTTGTAGGGATACTAGATATTTTGCCAGATATCCCTTGAATATTTATTATTCCTATTGCTATCACCTACTGGTACAATGTACATTCTTGTTATCCCACCGAACGAAGTTCGAGGGGGATATAGAAAAGCCGTCCGTCCGTCCGTTCGTCCGTCCGTCCGTTCGTCCGTCCGTCCGTCCGTTCGTGTGTCCAGGCAATAACTCAAATACCGGTTGATGGATTTCATTCAAATTTTATAGGCTTATGCCTTATGGGTGTAGGACCTCTGCTCGAGAAGGAATTTTCAATATGGCCGCTTAATTCAAAATGGCCGCCATTTTTTTGGAAAAAATATAATCTTTAATAACTCAAATACTAGTGGATGGATTTGGTTCAAATTTTATATGCTGTTGCCTTGCTACAAAGGAGCCTTGCTCAAGAAGACATTTTCAAGATGGCCACCAAATTTCAAAATGGCGGCCATTTTTCGTAAAAAACCGTTATCTTTGATAACTCAAAGACCATTGAATGGATTTGGTTCAAATTTTAGATGCTGATGCCTAGGGACATAGGAGCTCTGCTCGAGATAGGATTTTCAAGATGGCAGCTAAATTTCAAAATGGCGGCCATTTTTGGTAAAAAAAACGTTATCTTTGATAACTCAAATACCATTGAATCGATTTGGTTTAAATTTTAGATGCTGATGCCTAGGGACATAGAAGCTCTGCTCAAGAAGGGATTTTCAAGGTGGTGGCTAAATTTCAAAATGGCCGCCATTTTTCATAAAAGAACGTAACCTTTGATAACTCAAATACCAGTTGACGGATTTGGTTCAAATTCTATATGCTGATGCCTAGAGACAAAGAAGTTCTGCTCAAAAATAAATTTTCAAGATGGCCACTGAATTTCAAAATGGCCGCCATTTTTCGTAAAAAATGTAATTAATGATAACTCAAATACTAGTGGATGGATTTGGTTCCAATTTTATATGCTGATGTTTAGGGAAAAAGGAGATCTGCTTCAGAAGAAATTTCAAAGGCGATAGCTGCCATTTTTCATCAAAAAAGTAATCTTTGATGACCCAGATACCATTGGACGGACATTCTCTGCTAAAGAAGAAATCTAAAGATGACAGCTGAATTTCAAAATGGCAACTATGTTTCATAAAGACATAATCTTTGATAATTCAAATACCAGTGGATGAATTTGGCTCAATTTTTTTTATCAAAACATGTTTTGTTCGGTGGGATTTGCTACTCCGTGGAGTTGCTGTTTTTCTAGTTTTTCCCCTCAGTTTTAATTTTTCACCAGTAAGAAGTGGAAACCTACTCTTATTACCATTATTTTTGGACCAGCCCTTCTTTAATCTTTTAGCCTGTTTAAAGCTACCATTTCAAAGTACAGTGCAGTTATGCATAAATTTTCTTATTGGAATGGATCATAGGCCTGACAAGTTTATCTCTGGCCTTACTTCTGGCTTATATATGAACATGAATGAGCTATAGATTGTTACTGAGGCTATGAACTATGTTATATTATTGTGTGTTATATGTTCAATACAGAAAACTGTGTCTGTGTGTGTTTATGGTATATGAATGAAAATGAACATCATGATGAGCTTAATGTTCTGAAATCAATAAATGACATGTTCATACTATGGTATTGTGAACAACTATGTACAGCAATGGTATTGTGAAGAACTATGTACAGTACTTTCTGTGAAAAATGTAGTTTTCATAGAGTGTAAAAGCAATGGTATTGTGAACAACCATGTACAGTACTTTCTGTCAAAGATGTAGCTTTTATAGAGTGTAAAAGCAATGGTATTGTGAACAACTATGTTCACTACTATCTGTGAAAGATGTAGCTTTCATAGAGTGTAAAAGCAATGGTATTGTGAACAACTATGTACAGTACTTTCTGTCAAAGATGTAGCTTTCATAGAGTGTAAAAGCAATGGTATTGTGAACAACTATGTACAGTACTTTCTGTCAAAGATGTAGCTTTCATAGAGTGTAAAAGCAATGGTATTGTGAATAACTATGTACAGTACTTTCTGTGAAAGATGTAGCTTTCATAGAGTGTAAAAGCAATGGTATTGTGAACAACTATGTTCAGTACTTTCTGTCAAAGATGTAGCTTTCATAGAGTGTAAAAGCAATGGTATTGTGAACAACTATGTACAGTACTTTCTGTGAAAGATGTAGCTTTCATAGAGTGTAAAAGCAATGGTATTGTGAACAACTATGTACAGTACTTTCTGTGAAAGGTGTTGCTTTCATAGAGTGTAAAAGCAATGGTATTGTGAACAACTTATACAGTACTTTCTGTCAAAGATGTAGCTTTCATAGAGTGTAAAAGCAATGGTATTGTGAACAACTATGTACAGTACTTTCTGTGAAAGATGTAGCTTTCATAGAGTGTAAAAGCAATGGTATTGTGAACAACTATGTACAGTACTTTCTGTGAAAGATGTAGCTTTCATAGAGTGTAAAAGCAATGGTATTGTGAACAACTATGTACAGTATTTTCTGTGAAAGATGTAGCTTTCATAGAGTGTAAAAGCAATGGTATTGTGAACAACTATGTACAGTACTTTCTGTCAAAGATGTAGCTTTCATAGAGTGTAAAAGCAATGGTATTGTGAACAACTATATACAGTACTTTCTGTGAAAGGTGTAGCTTTCATAGAGTGTAAAAGCAATGGTATTGTGAACAACTATGTACAGTACTTTCTGTGAAAGATGTAGCTTTCATAGAGTGTAAAAGCAATGTTTTCTCATAAAAGTGTGCATCCTGAGAGTATCCTTAGACTTATTACATTATACAGTAAAACCTGTATTTTCAAATACCTCCCTGATTTGAACACCTCTAAGTTTGAACACTTTTGGAACCCACTTTTTTAATCTGCCAAATATATACTTCCATGTTGAAAAACCTTGACATGGAAACACCTGCCAATCGGAACACTTTTGATTGATCTTATTGGTTTTCAAATTAGACAGGTTTTACTGTCATTAAAGAATATAGTTCTATATTTATGACATCTAATGAATAGAAGTTCTTGTGAAGTAACAAAAGTATGCATTTTTATTTCTAATATACCAAATATTTATATAGCCTATTCATGTCCCATTTTGAAGTGCAATAAAATTTATAAAAAATATACTAAAATTGTGTTGTTTTATTTGTTTTATTACAAATACGTGTCGGACAGTAGATATAAAATATTACATAAAATAAACCCCTTCTTTGAAGAGAGCAAAACAAAAAATCTTTGAAACACTAACACACCAATAGTATAGTGCCTTATATCAAGAGACAGTTTACTATGACACACTAACACACCAATAGTATAGTGCCTTATATCAAAAGAGACAGTTTACTATGATACAGAAAATACTGTCTCGTATGTAGAAAATATTTCACCTTTAATTTGAAGTTGACTGTTTTTATATTAAAATTCTTTAGTAGAAAGTGATATACTGTGGGTCTGTTCATATACAAGTAAACATTATGAGTCACATAAGGCATTTTTATTTAAATGGACTGAGGTATCCTAGATGTTGTTGCCACTATCACACATACATTTTATGTCCCCATCAAGATGTAATACAGTACATAGTATATAAGGAGTATTAACATATTGCTACATTTGCTGTTTTTGTGTCTGGTGTTCCACATATGCAACGAGTTTTATCATTTACAGGTAGGAATGTATCCTTTACAGGTAGATATGTTTCATAATGAATACCCATCTATACTGAAACTTCCAAAACTTTGGACATGTTCCATGCACTTGCTGAACAAGCATTTCATAGCGTTATCAGAGTTAGGCTTTTATTGCCCCATATTTTCGTAATATTTCCTTCAGTTCTCCATTCTCGTGAAATCTTGTTATTTCCTTGTCTCCTCCAATATATTTTCCTTTCACAAAGAGTTGGGGAACCTGAAATAATATGGACAATCCATACTGTATATGGGCAACATATGCCAGATTTTGAGCAAGTTGGATTTTTATCTAATGTATGCACTATTTTAAAACATCGCAAGTAGACAGACACTGCAGTTTAGTCAGCATAATTATATAATTTGTTCAATGTTAATAGTTCTCCCTAGTACATGATGTATTAGAATAATAAATAGAAAATAGCTGTGAAAGACATTTGTCAAGAATTATAATTAAAAGCACTTACTGCTCTACTATCTGTTAAGCAGATTATCTGGAAATAATTTTCAATTTGATTCACATCTTGTCTACATTCAATGTCCACAAATTCATAAGTTTCCAAGTCCATTTTATAACTTGACAAATATTCTTTGATTCGTTTACATTCAGGATCATTACTCTTTGAGAACATCATAACCGTTCTCTGTTTTATTTTGGCATCTACGAAAGGTTTAGCTCCTGCCCCTGCCATATTTATTAGTATTTGGTGTCACAGTGGGGCACAAACAGTAAAATATTAAGGCACTTTTTGCAACTTTTTTCTGAGATTAGTTTACATGTCGCCAGGTGATGACGTCATTTTCAATTAGCTTTTACTACCTCCTCTACCGAAGAGCTATTATTTAGTGTAGTGTTAGCTCAACCCCATAAGTACATTTACTTTATATTTACTTATACTGTAATTAAATATATGAATAAATGTGGAAACTAGGAGACATTAATAAATGAGCTTTATGTTATACCGCAGCAACCTTTGTTTCATATGATATGCCCATGCCCATGAAGTGGTTTTGTTGCATAATCTGAAGAACAATTTAATCCAGGTCTCAGGTGATGATTGCTGCTGTTTCTAGAGTCCATTTCACTGCTTCATTTCGTCAGTAGAACGGCAAAAATAAGAAATTGGGAGACCATTGTGCAATAATATATGGAAAAGTATATTCATAATGTACATGAATGACATTTGTATATTTCAGATTTTTTAGTTTTTTGTGCAATAAGCCTGTGCCGTCTTGTAATTTGAAGAATTTCAGCCATGTTAATCTTATTGAAAATAACATGGCAGAGAAACATCCAAATAGAAGAGGCCACACACTTTATAAGCCAAACTAGAAGCAATCCAAGATATACAAATGTCATTCATGTACATTATGAATATACTTTTCCATATATTATTGCACAATGGTCTCCCAATTTCTTATTTTTGCCGTTCTACTGATGAAATGAAGCAGTGAAATGTACTGTAGTTACTACATGATACAATACCATGTTTCAAAAAACTCTAAGGTCTGTTATGTCATATCTAGCATACTATGGAAATCTAGTAAATCTGTGGGAATACTTTTTTGATCAATAAATTCCAATTTATATGCATTATATCAGAGCATCTTGTGTTGCAAAATGGTAGGATGTGATAAGGATCAGACACCAACTATGAACACTAAATGATGGAAATAGTACTTATCTTTCCTCATTCTAGCCAGTTATGACTTCATTATTGTTTCTGAACATGATTAAAAACTATAATCAAGTTTAGGTACAAGGAAATCTTAAGATGAAGATGTCCATTTGAGAAATAAGGTGAAACAAACAACTTTATTTCACTTTTATTTGGAAAATAATTATAATTTATTTCAATTGAATCACTCAACATACATATCATATATATAAAAATCTAGTATGTTTGTAAATATTTACAATCATATGTACAACATGTACATATAATAACAATAAAAACTGCATAGTTGTGCTTATTTCTCTTCAAAAGTATGTTCATATCTAACTACATATACAACAAAACATCTACTCTTGAGGTACATGTAATCAAATTCATGAATTAACGCTCTGCAATAATTTAAAAACAATACCTTTTAACAGATATAAAACTGTTTGGTTATCAGTTCAATTAATCACAATTATCAAAGGCTTGGTTATCCTTCTATTTGGGATGGGAACATATTTATTTGATTGTGCTCTTGTAGAATTTGAAAAATGACAAACCCAATCGCTTTCATCTCACTGACATTCCTACTTGTAACTTACTGTAGGTTCAAATTTTTGAAATATGAGGTTTCATCGTGTACTGATTAGTTGCAAGTGATCCATTAAAACCAAACTAAAATAGTCAATCAACAGATCAATAATCAAATTAAAATATCCAATCAATGTAAAACAATCAAAATACAATTAACTCTACTCTGCATGTTAGTTAGTATAAATTTAATGAATCGATTATACAAAATATAAAACTTTATTACATCAGTGCATAATTATATTTGCACATATTGCTTAAAACTGATTTTTTCAGTTTTCCCCATAAGTATTACACAAATAAAAAGTTTTGGCAAAATGATCGATTCTTAGCCTCAAGCATATTTCTGGTTCTAGAATTCACTATTGATTTGTCATAGATAGTACTACAATGTGTACAGAAGTTGTTTTCTTTAAATACACACGTATGCATCGTGACATGTCAAATGTCCTTCACAACGGTTGATATTCATTCCCTAGATTTTGGTTTTGAAAATAATAATGTGCATCACAACATTGTACATGAATAATACCTGAATAATACTACTACATTTTGTTGATAAAATATATTGAATTCTACTATTTACATTATTTACATTTCTTGACACCATAATATAAACAATATGGTGATATTTACAATAATCACATTGTACTTATCTACAATACTATATAATTTTTATGTACAATAGGCAGTATATTCATTTTGAGGTAATGTTCTGTAAATAAGAAAATTGTGCTTCTGTTGTACACACAATATTTTCAATAATGCTCAACTACATGTACATGTGCGCTTTTAACGGAAATGGTACATAACCTATAATTATTTTACAATATTCACAAGAATTTCCACATGGTTTCTAAAAAACATACTGATGAAATATAATATTTTCTGACCACTGGTGGTAAATAAATGGAGGCTGTTGGATTTCAAATTCAAGGATATTGAACTAAAATCTCAAATAACAGACATAATGTGGTTAGCATATAGCATTATGTCAACGGTGATTTACACAACATGTTGACACACTAAAAGTATCAATTGTACGAAGTGTTTGTGCTAAAATGTACAAGTATACAAGTACATTTAATTGAATAAAATTTCCTGAAAAGAGTTGGTAATTGTTATGAATGGTTGAACTAAAGGTTTGTAGAAAATATTTGTTTGTGTAAAAAATATGATATTTGGAAGTGCAAAGTTCAGAAATATGCATTGTATATGTATGTATGGCATTCAATGATATTTATTTTATCTTGTATGCGATCTGAAATACTTGTAATTCGTTTGTATGTTTCAAATTAGTCAAATAGAGAAAAACCCAACATTTGTGCCCCCTTGTTCAACAGTATATCAGATTCCTGGATTTTATGGCTATGACAGTTTTGAATTTTACAATCTCTACCACTTTGGGAAACTAAAACAGAATTATACAAAACATTGACTGGATATTCTTGATGGATACTGTATATGGTTTTCATATAAGGCAATATGCTGAAAGGCAATAAATAGGGTCTCATGTTTCTCTCTCTATACAATGTAGAGATTGAACTATGCTGTTTCTAATATTTCTTGCTCATTCTTCCATTCACCATAGACATAAAATACATGTTCCACATTTTATTCTATAGTATCTGTTTATAGGCACTATTTTAACTTTAATATGTTTCACATTAAATTCTACACACATGTTTTCTTTTAGCAGGTAGTTGGTAAACTAAAAAATATAAAGATCATATTTCAAAGAACTTGTACTCTATTTCAGTATCTTTCATCAGGCATATAATCATTATTCATGAAAGTGAGTGGCCAGCATTAACAAAATGGAATAAGTGTAGAACTTAGTATGAACATTTGATAGAATCCCTCAAAGAGATCCAGTCAATAGACCCTGGTCAGAGCTGCAGCCAGAATGTGAACTGCATGTGTCATGGTCTGCATCATAACCCCTGGATAGATCCAGGCACTCAGTGTAAGAATCCCACGACAGTTCAGTAGATTTTGATTCTGTTGAAGTTTTCCTACATATAGAGTCAGTCTGTATGTTTTCCTCACGGAGACTAAATATTTCAGTGACTTTGATTATGTTTGGTTGATCAGGCTCATTGTAATAATAAGCCATAACTGCCTCCATGTGATTGGCCTGCTCAAGACAGTGGTCAAACGTATCAAGAGTTTGAGGATCTAATGAGTCTGGATTTGCATATATTTCAGTTTCTAAATCTGGTAGCTCCAGCGGTTCTTCATCAAATTCATCAATTTGAAATAGTTTGTCTTTTGATTGCACAGGTGTGGATTGAACCGGGTTGGGCTGATCGTTCTGCTCGCATGGGGTTTCCTCTATTAGATGATGCCTCAGTGTTGTCAGGGTATTGAGGGTTGAATCTCTATTTTGGAAGTCCATTGAGAAGCCAATGTTAAGTTTAGAGCAATGTTTCTTATGGGCCTTAGACTTGAATGCCCTGGTAGCCCTGGCTGCTCTGCGAGGCTTTTCTTTGGATACATGGTCTGTGTATTCACTAATGGCAAGTTGACAAGTAAGCCTGCAATAAAACACACAGATCATGCTAAGGAGGATGGAGTAACAGAATTTGGGGCAGACCCATTTGCGCATGACCTTTATTAAGTCACAAAAGCATATTTCATAAATAAATGATACATCATATATGTTCATAAATTACTACTTTTCCATATCTCTCAATAATTAATATAATTAACGCAGTTTTAAGTCATGTAAAGTGGTAAATTTGACCAAAGGGAATCAATGTCATTTAATGATGAATGTATTTAGATATGCCTTATCCAATCCAGAACATAATACATATGGACATTTATATTAACCTATATTTTAGTTAACAGATAGAAAGATGAAAAGACAGCTTTCTAAATCCCAGTTCAGATAAATAATTACTATGCCCTCTTATGGGGAAATCTTGAAAAGGCAAGTTGTGTGCCTACCTAGCTCTATGATGATGCCTTCCACGCTTCAAGTGTTGAACAAAGGCAACGATGAGGGCCATGAATTCCTCATAGAACCACTGGCTGTCATTCGGCAAATGTGGAACCCAGTTGAGAAATCTGCAAACACAAACATTGCACATCAAATGAAGGAAAAATAAAATGTTTTATTTATCCACACATATTTCTTTAAACTACAAGAAATATGGCTAATAACAACAAACAGAATAACACATCCTTCCAAAAAACAAAAGAACAATTGCTACGTGTAACAATTATATTCACATTTCAACCTAATCCCTCAAAGGGTCTAAAAATGTGTCAGATATAAACGTGACATGGTGCTGTACTAAGACCAAACTGTGGTCAACTCAAAGATAAAATATTTCAATTAAAGTCTGATGTTATTGACCTTATAATCTAATATATGATTTGTATGTATGTTATCAGTTTTCAATTTTGGCTACATACCCTTTAGTGTACTTCTCTCTGAATATGACAGATCACTTAACAGTTTTGCATTTAATCACTCAGATAGCGCTGTTCATTATACATCTATATAGCTAAATGTTATGAGAAATAAATGGTTCAAATTTGTTGAACAAGATCAGAGTTTTATTGATCGGTAAAGTGTCTGACTAAGGTAGTTTGTAAAAATGACAAATCCTTTCAACCCATATTACAGGCTAAAGTGATTGAAACCTGCTGATAAATGAAAATCTAAATAAGAATCCTAAATATACGTTAACCAACTGTATGTCACAAAATAAAAGTCCAAAAATGGCAGTGAATAGGCTGTTTATTGTTTTTTTCAAAACACTTGAATGAATAGTCAATGTACTGTCATCATGAAAATTTTCTATTAAGAGCATTCATCAGAATATACAACATTCAATATCAGATGACGCAGATCTTCTCCTTTTAACCTTGAGGCCCTTGAGTTATTTATTAAGGTTGATAAATGTTTCTTTTTCCATACAAACTTGTCTGGGGGAGGGGGAGATTTATGTGGAGCAAAAGTATTAATAAAGAGCAGGGTCTAATTTGGTTTAATTCAGTTTAATGACAAATGTAAGTTACAGTAGTACTATAGCTAGTACAGTTATAGTACATCCGGTCCACATGTATTAAACAATAAAATGCTTATATTATTTGGTTGCATAAATCCTGGAGAATTCGGTTTGGAAGACATCCTAAGGTTGTTGTGTCCTCAGACTTGAAAGTATGCAACTTGGATTTTGGCCAAAATCTTTATTTATACAAAGCAGATGGAGACATAAACAACTTAAAGTTAGTAAAACTGTTTGTGAACTCAAATTCAACTGATCTATTTATTTTCTTAGTTAAAGTTTTACCAGATAAAAATAGAATTAAATTATTTGTGTTGATATCTTGAAGGAATTTCAAAATGGGTATACATTGCCACTGCCAGCATTTTTTTTATTTTGTACTTGAATGGAAGTGTTTCAACTATATCAGTACAAGAAGGGAAAATCGTATTTTCATTATTGGTCTTAAATGGGACCTCGGTCATTGATCGGTTATCATGCACCATGGCCCAGTGTTGCTGTTCCCCATTCCCATTTGGACAATCCTATTGGTATTCCGGTTAGACAGGTTTCTCTGTATTTAAATTTGTCTGGCCTGTTTTTAAACCTGCCTACACCCTGAATACCATTTGATTGGTTGTATATACTCACCTTTTTGAATAGTTATATACAACAGCGGCTGGCAGGGCCCATGGGGCAAGGACGTATGAGAGAATGTGACCAGTCTTCCCCATCCAGGTTAATCTCATAGACTCTGTACACTGGCTAAATGCTGCAATAAATGAAGCAAATATTCATTACAAACACATTCAAAATTCAAAGTAGATAAAAATATAATGAATTTATAATACTTCACTAGAAATTCAATGACATAAAGAACACTGGAAAGGGGGTACTTGAATGCCTACTAGAATTCTGTCATAACTGAGTTAGCTCAAGTGATGGAGATTCACTTCAAAAAACTATCTTTGAAACAAGGTTATACAAACACACCCGGACAGACATAGACACACACTCTGTTTGAAGATATTCATGGTCACTTTAAGTACAAGTTAGATTATGAGCTACCCAGGACATGTTAGTTCAAGGATGTGTACTTAACAAATATAAAGTGCATCTGACTCTGATTCACCTTTCTTATATACTTTTATATCTGTTAACGAGTTATAATGTAGAGTACAAAATTTTGAGCACAAATCAATCAATTATAAAATATATGGTATGTTGTATAAGGAGCATAATCCCTATAGGCGATGTGGTGTTCACAGGGGTGCAACTGCACCACCCTTTCTGACCCAATCCCTGGGGATTTCCTTCATGGTACTGAGAAGGAGACTCTGGGAGAAGAACTATGTGCTTTGAGAAGAGATGGAGAAACTTGGCTTCAGGTGCAAGTAATGATGATGGAGATATTTTTTGTTTTGTTTTTAGAAGTTGCAAAATCCTGGGGAAGATCCTGATCCTTATTTATACACATTTGATTCTCATCTATGAAGTATGTTCGGGGATACGGGGTTCTGAGTCAGTTTTGCAAGATATATTGACCTAGCCCTTATAAAGATGGGGAAAGAAATCATTTACTGACCTGATACAACTATGGGTGGCAAGGTATCTACCAATGCTATATGTTGTCTCTGTTTGCATTCAGAGCAGTGATGTGCCTCTTCTACAAGATCTCCAGAATCAGAGGTAGATAAACTCTCAGTTGACTCTTCTGCAAGGAGGTTGAGATCAGTGGCAAGTGATGCGGAGGCAACGATGCTTGACCGTATGCTCAGATGACGAGTACAGTTGATGAGATCTAGAACAAAAGGGTAATGACTCAATAATTACTAATAAACACAAATACCAAACATGAAATACCTGTCTTTGTAGTCTGTAAATCTTTTTTTATGCACGCAGGCTTTTCTCCTAAGCAAGAAGCCTTGTGGAGCATATCGGGGGAGAACTTAAATAATCCTACATAATCCTACATATAAATATCACAAATTCTCTTAAAAATGTGTATACACTTAACTGTCCTGCTAAAAACATCAAAAAGTCCCTGAAACTCTAACAAAGGGTTTGGCTTTAGAGTCACAAACACACTCACTGTTTCTCTGGAGATACTTGAGGGCGTCATCAAATCCTCTTCTACACATATTACTAAGGACTTCTGGGTGAGGAGGAAATAGAGCTCTACTCATCCTATACAGATTATATGTGGAGAACTGCATACTTGTATTTGCCAGTGAAACTTCGAGTAAATTGGCCGAATTATCATTAGGGCAGATGTCGCTTTCACCCGCAAATGGAGAAACTGTTATGGTATTTTCATCAAGGATTGGAAGGTTATCACTCAATCCTCCATCGACGTATCTCTGTAACAGAAAGTTATGCATAATTCATGGCAGGCATTACTGAGTTAAATATATTCTATATTCCTGATATTTTGATATGCTATGATTCATTAGTATAAAGCCTTACTAACAGGTCAAATGAACATTGTTAATCACAACTTTTTGACATGCATTTAAGCCAGGTTGAATTAACTTTAATTCATGTAACTATTTGACATACATTGTACGAAGAGTGCATGATGTGACATTTCAACCAAAATGTAACTATTTGACATACATTGTACGAAGAGTGCATGGTGACATTTCAACCAAAATGACAATTTGACTTCTTCAAAAAGCTAGTCTCCTTTATCCCTTTTATCCCTCCCTTTTATTATTTTGTCTAAATCTTAGCCTTCTTTTTAATCACATTTCACCATTCCTTTCCAGTATAGATCATGAACTTACCACTCCTTTGAAGGAAGGTGGAACCATTCCACTGTAGAAAGGTACGAAAGAACTGCATAGTAGAGCCTGCAAGTAAAAGAAGTTGATGGTGAATAAGACATGTCAACATACCCTTATAAGAAAATAAGATAACAACATAATCACAACAATTCACATCAACTTGAAAATGAAGATTCGCATAATATCTTCAAAATATTTTTTCTGAAAGTCTGAAATATTTTTGATTGAGTGCATTTTACTCCTGAAATCAACAAAACATATTCTTGTGAATACAAATGCATTGTTTGATGGCAATCAAAGGTACAATCGTATCAAAGGATTGAATTCACACAACCTGGGGCATTGAGAGAGTTCTAAAAACCAAACACTAACCATGAGTTACAAAAAAGGTATGATGACATGATAAAATGTGGTAACTTCATAAATTAGTCAAGAAAAGTAAGACTAGACTTTTATCTGAATATTTTGCTACACTTTCTAGGTTAACTAATCGACAAAATAACAACAAAAATTGCAAATGCTTGTTTACTGTAAATTAGGTCAATTTGGCACTATTAGTGTGATATTTTCAAAGTTTTGGGGATATTGGAGATTATTTAATCGTCAGATTTTGTAAAAATACCCTAAAATATTGTCATATAATTCAGTGTAGGGTCATTACAGAGATTTAAATCGTTGATCTTTTTAGAATTGGTGAATCAGATTTGTGAAGCGGGTGTCAAATGAAGGCAATTAAGTATTTGAAACAATCATCGATTCTGTACAAGGTCCAAAAGTTTGCTACATCACTGTCTCAGTTAAAGTGAAGTCACATTGAATATAAACGTGCCTACTACGATATAACAACCTCTAGTATAATAGCTGGAATGTCTTATCAGTAATTGGATTAGATAAGAAGTTAGTTTAATTCTTTTGTTTCACCATGAACTTCATAAAAATTGCACAAGTTTATATAATTTGCCATGTGATGACATGATCTATCTAAACCAGGAATGATTTGCTGGACTTTGTTTGATCTAAAGCTATCTTAAGCTGGCCTTATAGTCTTGCATCAGGTCTCTGGCTCTGCCCCCTTGATACACATTCTCTGATGTTAAGGCATAGGACATGGGTACATATTGACTCGATGCAAGACTACTGATCTTATAGTCTTGCTTCAATCCAGCCTTTTCAAGTCTTGTAAGCCCCCCCCCCCTACACCTCTAAAGATATAGTTGAGGGGGGGGGGTACAGAGACGTGATACAAGACTATTGATCTTCAGTCAAATTCAGTGTTGAACGTTCAGGCACTCCAGGTTCATATGTTACATTACATTGAACTTTATCTCTATTTAGTGCAATGTCAACTCAATAAAATATCTGGTATGATCTCATAGATTGACTATTATTAAGCAACCCATTAGACTTTATAAATATTAGAGTATTTCATCTGAAAAAACACCACCTGCTTATCCTGTGCATTAGGATTTACTGAATAACTAGATAAGAGATTACCAGTCACAAGAAACAAGAATGCAAAAATGGTCTTTGATTTCGAGGATTAAGTTTGAAAACCATACTTTAAAATAATAATGACAATATGTATATGTACTTTATGTGTAACTAGTCTATACTAGATACATGTACTTTGGACATGAATTGCGGACACTGACAAATGATCTTGACATTGTATGAGACTAGTTTAGTCTTGTTTCATGTCCATGTGACCCCAACACCTAAAACCCTGCAGATGGAGTAAATGGGAGAGGGTTCAAGAGACTCAATGCAAGACATCACCTTATTTTTTATTTTTACTTGTCTTATCCTTGAACAAGGCCAGTATGTATTTCATTTCATGTTGTACTCTAGTTAAATACAGGGTGATAACCTGCCTCCCTTATCGGACATCACACCACTTAATTCTCAACCATCGGTTATAAGGCATTTAACAAACTTTATCAATTTTAACACTTAAATGTGACTGACAAAACAGTAATCTCGAGCGAAACTAATTACAGTGCAAAAGCACTGACAAATGTACTGTACTAGAATCAATAACAAAGTCGTAACCACAGAATCAGCTGATCTCAATTCAGTTGTTTCCTCAGCTGATCATGATCAGATGATACTAACCTTACTTTATCCTGGTATAGTTTCAAAATTGTTTAAATAAAGAGTACATGGATTTTTTATGTCATTTATGTCAGTTTATATGTCATATTTGATCTTCCAAGAAGTGAACATCTTAGATCTGTTTTTTTTTAATTTGATTTTTTGCATCCTTCCCTCCTAAGATTTGTTCCTTCTTCATGACAGTACACAAATCATCTATAAATGAATAGCATAGAGACCAACAACCTGTTTTTAAATTTTCAGTGATTACAATCTACAACTACAAATCGGCAACTCAACGGAGTAGTAAATCCAAAGGAACACTATATTCATGAATCTGTATGTGTCACAGTGTAATATTTACCATTACATCTACTCTACCCTTGGTTAAATTGGCAGACAATAAAAGACATACTATATCAGATTTTACCACATATTAGTATTAAGGATTTCGGGTGACCATTAAGAAGTTCCAAAGGCACAAATCATTATAATAATACAACATTTGAGATCAATATACTGTAGTATAGTATAACCATACTTTGAAATTATCTCTAAGTAATAGTTCAATTCCTGCTCTAGAGAGCCATTTTGAATTTTCCGAGTCACGAAATTGGAAAAAATGCCATAATTGCATAATTGTGATCTCATCTAAAATCCCTTCAATTTGAGTACAATATACTTTGAAGAGATCAGAAAATTATTGCAATATCCCAAAAAGATACCATTTTGAATTTATCAGGGCCTGCAAATAAGAAAAGCAATTTATTTTCAATCTACTCTAAATTGAGTAATTGTGCTCTCAAAATTAATGTAAATTCCTGTTTTCCTGACACACATGGAATATATTTGAAATAGATAGATGTTGTAAATATACTGCCAAAATCTCAAACAATAATATTTATTACTGGTTTAAAATGAAAAGATTTTTAAAAACTCTGGCTTTTTTTACGTAAAACTATTTGCCAATATACATCTACATTTACAAAACAATCCCTACAGACTACTGACGGACAGATATCTTGTGTAATGGCTTTAATTGCGCTACGGGCAATATATACTGCAAAAATCACTGAATGATAAACAGGTCATCGTCCTCCATAGAATGAAATATTTTTTATTGTTAGTACCTCAGTTGAAATACTCGATTTTGATTGGTCAACGAGCGGTGAATAATTTTAACTGTACACCGCGCAATGCATTGCCGGTGAATAATATTCCCAGCATTCCACTAAAATGACGTCATTATCAGACGATAAAATGGCCGCCGCTAGCACTAGCCATTTCAAAAATGTTGAAGATGAGGATATTATTAGTCTCTTAGAGAGTGAAGACAGTCAAAATACGAAGAAAAATCTAAAACTTTGTACAAAGCTTTTAGTGGACTTCGCCCAGGAGAGTAATTTGACTCCATTGAGTGAACTTACTGCCGTGGCAGATGTAGATAATTTTTTGAAAAAGTTTTACGTTGGTATTAGAAAAAAAGACGGTGGACTTTAGAAGTTGAAATCATTTCAGCTTCTTAAATGGGGAGTGGCACGATACATCAGAGAGACACTTAAGATGGACATTACCAAGTCTGAATTCAAAGCATCAAACGATGTTTTCAAAGTGATGGTTGTGGAACTGCAGAAGTCAGGAAAAGGTAAAACCACCCACAAACCTGTGTTGTGTTCAAGGGTCAGAAAAATCTAAGATATTCTTCGGACTAACAAAACAATTAGGTCTCGGTTTACAGTCTCGGGATATAATTTTGACAGTAAACCGAATGGAGAGGTCAATAATTGTATATTATTGCACATTACAATGCAATATAAATATTGACAAATAATGTGAAATGTTTCAACAGAATAAAATGTGACATCTGACACTATTATTAGATTGTGAATTAACTGGCAGGTAGTACTAGTTTCTATTCTTTTTTTATTCTATTCTATGTGTCACCAGCTGATAAAATTGTACCATTCTGTGTAACTGTTGGCATTTCAAAAAGTTATTTAGAAAAATTGTGAAAGAGAATTAAGTAGAAAGTTCATTACAAATGAAGTTATGAATGAATTGGATATATTCAGATCAGACAAAGTCCAGTGATTGTACTACTAGTAAGCTCCATCAATATTGGTTCCATTTCCTCTGCATTTAGATAAAGCAAAATGAAAAGAAAAAAGATTCTTAAAAACAAGCACCACATGCCTGAAATTGTCTTACTTGAATTTCAAAAATAACATATTTAAACTACCAACATTTACCCAGTCAACAAATACACTCAAACAACCTATACAACCATCTTTACAAGTTGAGCAAATGGAACATAGCATGAATGAAGAGCTAATTAATGAGCCAGAGATGAAAACCATCAAATGTTAGATGACTTAAAATGTGCACAAAATGAGGTATATTTTGATATCTAGATGTAAAATTACATCTCTAAAAGTGGTTTAAAAAATCATTTATCAACTTAAAAAGTGAAATATCATTTCTTGTGTCAGACAGATGATATTTTCTTTTACTTGACACCTTTTCATTTGTACAATTAACTTAGGGAAACAAGGGCAACAGTTGACAAACAAGGTGTGATTTACTTAACACAGGATATCACAGATTAATGAATTAATATTTGTTAAATGTGAGGTAATTTCAGAATAATTAAGAACAATAACGTTTTCTTACCTTGATTAAATCTTCTCTAGAATCAAAATCAGACACAATGACACTCTTTCTATCAGAGACACGTGTTAATGACACATGAAGTCGACCTGTGGCAATCTTGTGTGCATTTTGGGGGAGAACTTCTTCAAGGCCATCATGAAGTATCTGGTGAATGTTGAAGCTTGGGTGCAAAGGGCCCAATGTTCTAGACCTTGCCTTTGCAGCTACACGTAACACATAGCTTGTGAACTGACCTAAGTAATACAAATAAAAGACAATACAGGAAACAGGAAATGTAGCCAAACAATTTTATGTTTTTATTGTATAGTTCTTGTCTTGTTTTCAGCGTCCTTACTATTCAAAGCTTGACTCTGTGGGAATATCTTTTTTAATGATGGGAGGCTTAATTGTAAAACAATGTTTCTGGCCAAATAATCATTTATTTAATAATAATCTAGTAAAGCGGTTGACCCAACAAGTGAAAGTGATAAATAAGATAAATCAATCAAATACATGGCCAGTGCTGTTAACATGTCATTTGATCTGAGGACAGGGCAGGAATATCATGAAGTTCACACAGATTGGAACAATGGTGTTGATAAGGACAGTGACTTACATGGACTCTTCCATATACAAGATAAGGACAATTATATAGCACACTGAACATTGTGTAATGGTGGACAAACCATATGCATAGTGACAAGTTGTATTCAGCTAGAGTTTACTTAGTATTGACTAGCTTACTTTTAGGCTAGTTCTACTATTCCCCATGCCTATGGAACAGGTGGTCAGTTAAATCTTTCAAGTAAATATCCCTCATTTTTGGTAATAAATGTTTTTGGGAGGACGATATGCCTCAATTAAAAAGGTGGCCTAAAGTTTTGTAACCTCGCCTCTTTCTGTTTCTGAACTACTAGTATCCAGATGTTCAAGATGTCCAAGGCTACGAAACCTCCAACTCTCCAATAGCTTGCTGATAATGATGATGTATTGATGGTACACCTTATCCCGTTCCCGGACTGTAGTCCTGCACTGATCGCATTCATTTGCCTGTACGATTACAACTTGGGAGAATTATCTACGCCCCTTACACTTAAGATACCTACCTCAATGCATTATAGAACTCAAGATGTAACTTCTAATATATTGGAACCGCCGATTGTCTGGGTATATCGGCAGAACGGGAACATTTTCTCTTTTTCATCGAGAGAGATTCTATCACTTTTCAAAATGGCGGTTGGATTTAAAAGGGGAATCCCCCGTTTGGCTGTCCCGGATGTAGCCCGGAAGTACCAATATGGAGGAATTTGACGGTTGAAATAAGTTAAATGTTACACGCAAATATTGCGATCAAAAACGAAAATGTCTTCGTTCTGCCGATAAACCCAGACAATTGTGGATTCAACTACACGAAAAGAATGCTAAATTACCAAGGAATCTATTGAAGTAGGTATCTGAAGTGTAAGATCAGTAAAAAATTCTCCCATGTTGTAATCGCACAGGCAAAAGATTGAGATGTTCACAGGACCATAGTTTGGGAACGGGATAAGGTACACCACCACAGCTCTTTCAGTATTTAATATGGGGTCTCATGGGGGTGTGTTCTATAATATAGTCACGTGATATTATATAATAGGTTCCCTTTGTAAATATTACCTAACCACTGCACAAAGCCAATTATATATTGAGCTTATGTTATGTAATACCAAATAATAATCAGGTCAATGTTTATTTGTGGCCAACGGTTTGTATTAGTCTGCTCAAAATGCAAATTAGTAGATCTAAAGCAAAACATATGTAGCATAACATTTGAAAACTTACAACACATGCTAAAGCTAAAAAACATATATTATGAACTAAATACTTACCAAGGCAGCAGTCGGAAATTAGGCCACAAGCAACCAGTGCGCCTGCACTTGCACCGCTTATCTTCGTTTCAGAGTCAAATAACGTTGGAGCATATTCCTTCAAACAACTCGCCACTCCAACATGGTAAATGCCGAGGAATCCGCATCCCGCGAAAGATAGATTCATTCCTGGATAGCTAATGCTCGATTTAGCATATGTTTAATCAAAATCGGTGAAGAAATGAGTAAACTACCGTCGATTGAATAAGACGGAGGTCCAGTTTCGCTCCTTGGTTTGTTTTCACTCCGACATCTGACACGGCACACCTCTCTGACGTCAGATACTACGCGCGCTCTGATTGGACTGTTAAAGTGGGCTGAATTTTGCCCGACCTTGCGGTTTTCGTTCAATGCACTACATACACCAATTTCATATTACCGGGATTACCCGTTAGGACATACAGTGGCTGAAATCATCATAACTCAAACCATTCTCAAACTGACAAGATCAACTATACGACTTTTGGAACACAATAATTTTTTGTAACCCACTTTCTGCAAACACGAAGATTATGTTGCATGCAATTATTGAAAGCCCATGATTATATCCATGGGTATAAGTCACCCCTCCCTCTTATATTCTGTCGCCTATATGATTAATAATGAGGGGGAGGACTTCATATTCCCCGTGATTATATCAGTATGGACCTCTTCCAAACGATACATGTATAAGTTTCACCTTTCAGCTTTTCTCATTGACCACCATCTACATTCCCATAGCAAGGATTTGCCAAGGGGATTTGCCAAGGGGGGGGGGTACCTATTTCAAAGGCTGGACTGGTCTGACGAATTATCAGATCACTCCAGCCTTTGAAATAGGTAAAGGGGTTCACTTTTTGAAAAATTCCAGGGGGGTCAACTTTTGACATCCTAGCCCAAAAAGAGCCAAAATCACATGAATAGTGCTCAGAATGATGAAAAGCTGCTTGACTCGACCCCCCCCCCCAAACCCCCCAGGCTAGAGGGCCAATCTACACATTTAGTATCAAAGGAAGGAGAGGGAACATATTACAACACTTAGGGAGGAGAGAGAGGTGACATTGACAAGTATAAACAAAAATACACCATTTCCAGTATCCAATGGGAAAGATATTCATAGGAACAATTTTGTAATAAGCACAAAATCACAGTTTGCCAAACTGCTTTGGACAAGCTTTGCTTTTGCACTAATTATGTATATATTCCTAAACTTATTTTTGTGCCAGACAAAATGAAATTGATACAAGAGGTAGAAAGGCAAAGGGGGAAAATCTGAAAAGGCAACAAAGATTGCTTGTCTTACATCAAGTCTCTTGGCAGGCAACATGATGGCTAAATGTAAGGCGATACAGTAAACCACCAATAACAATCCTAAAGGGTTCACTTTTTTTCACCCAATACCAAAGCCTTCATATCATTGTCTTGTCTTCCTAGAAGTGGCATCATGTCTTATGACAACTCAGGGCCAGATCAAGGAACCAACAAGGAGGGGGGGGGGGGCATATTTGAAATCTGAAAAAAATTCATGCTTTTTAGAGTTGTGCCCAAAAAAAAGTGGGCCAAAATTCTGAAATTTAAAGCCCATTTTCTTGATAATTTGGCCTAAAATAAAAAAATTAGGCCTTAGGCAAATTTATGCCCAAAAAGGCCCATTAATCGGGCCTCTTAAAAATATTTGGGCCAAAAAATTGTTTTAGGTCCCCACCAGAGCTGTCAGTGCAATATCACACTACCCTACCACGTGACCACGTTTAAAAGGGAAACAGGGTACAGCTAAGTTGCAAATGGAGGACGTGGGTTTAATTCCATATTTCTGAACGTAAAATACATTTTACATTTATTTCTAGTATTCTACCAGACATAGAATTGATTCATCGAGCAGTTTGTAGAATATTGTTGGAAAAAACCATAGGCAAAGATAGATAATAGTGGGCGCAGTGAAGCAAAACCCAATGCAATACACGATACATTTCAGTAAATCTATCAACGTACAGGGAGCATGTAAGTTTCCCTTCAAAAATGTTACATTGATATGTAACAAAAAACCCAGTTAACTGTTATTTAAACTGCGTGTCATCATGTTATATGTGGATACGTTTTCCAGTATGTTATTCAACTGTATTTTTGTGAATTAATTGTTTTTCTAAAATCTTAAGATGCAAAAAACGTCGTCCCAGAAATGTATCTTTACTTTGCCGTAAGGCATAACATATTGTGAAACATTTTTCCTCTTGTCACAAACAGGATGTTTGTTTCGAGGTGTCTTGTGATGAGCGTTTCATGATTAAATGCAAAATCACTGGAGCAGATACCATCCAAAAACATCTGAAATTCAACACGTCATCTAAGACTACATCGATCTGGTATTAGTTTATTTTACAATAATAGAGAAATACGATGTCAAATCAGCGCTACAGCAAATCGTGAAGAACAAAATGCTCTCAAGTCGTGGCATGATGGTATTTTGAACAAAATATTTTAAATGATCGGTTTTTGAGAAGGGTAGTGAATTAGACCATTCAAGGGGTTATATAAATCTACAAAATAATGTTTACTTTATTTGGATTAAATAACAATTGATGACACCTCAAAGCATCAACAGGCGGCCTTTTTAGCATTATTTTCGCTGTTGGCAACGTAAATGTACATGAGATCGGGACATAGTATGTCTGTATAATCAGCTTACTTCCTCGCTCCCTGTACTATTGAGCAATTTACATTCCTTGTACCCTGTATTGATCAACTTTTGCAACTGTGTACCGTGTACTATGACATATCAAATATTTTAAAATTTAAAACGATATTATTTACATTCTTTCTTCAACTATCATATAACTTGGAACATGGACTTCACTATCGCACCACTGAAGTTCAGCGAATAGCAATATTGACTCACTCCGAGCCCCAAACGTATTAACCTTTTGACTAAGCAGTCGAAATACTCAAGAGCGACGTGGTTGAAAGCCAAAAAATTCGCGCATGCGCTATCGAGGTAGGGTAGTGTGAATATTTATGACATACATTACAGCCTGCTTGCATGGCCAGATTTTTGCCTCAAAATATTTCAACTATTTACACTCAGATGCAAAGGAGCACTTGTTCAACACACAAATGATGAACACAGAGAACGAAAATCTCTTTCTCTCACTACAAGAAACATTTGGCTGATTAATTTCAATATGATTATTAATTTATTATTAATTAACTGATTGTTATTTATATGTACAAGTACATTACATTGATATTTTGATAATTACAGCATGTCGTGATAAATAACTACATGTAGTATGAATACTAAAAAGACTTGATTACATGACTACATATATTTGTAATAATACAGACTCTAGATCTCAGTACACAGCAGGGGCATAGCCAGCTTTCAGTCAAGGGGGGTGCGATCGCCAACATTTTTTCAGTTTTCAGTCGGGGGAGGGTGCGATTGTAGCATAAGCAAAATAAAAACAATATTTTTTAAAGATTTGTTTTGAATTTTACAAACATTGATGCAACATCCTTCAAAGCATTTTAATGCTCTTCTCTCCCTCTATCTAATGGTTTTATTTTTATTGGTTATGGGGGGGGGGTGTACCCATCGTGCCCCCCCCCCCCTGGCTACACCCATGCACAGTAAATCCACTGTAATATACAAGGATTAAAATCATATTCCATTGATCACATAAAGAAATGGTCTATTCATGAGGTTTCATAAGATGTATTACTTAGAATTGAAAAGGGTGACATCTATAAAATGATCATAAAACTCATATGGTTATCATTAAACTGAGGGAACTTAGAACAAAAGGCATAACATGGCATGGGGTGTGCAAAAATTATAAAATTAGAACAATAAAACACACAATGTAATTTCCCCAGTGGGATTTCAGCTGAAAGTACATTGTACTCTCAAAATAAGAGTGTAGTAAGGGAAGAGACAATCTCATAAGTTAATCCTCATTATATCTAAAATTGCAACTAAAAATCTTCAATCCTCCATTACCACTAGATTTGACACTGTCACATACACATGATGATGTGTCCACTCCTTTAACTCCTATTTTATGTTAATGAGACATGGATGTACAGGGTTACACAAAAAATGTAACCAACTATTTGATTGCATCTTCTTGAAGTGGAAAAGAAACATAAAAACATGTCTTTGAGTGGAATTACAATGTCAGAAAAGATAGATTGTCTGCCTACTTGGTAAATAATCATGGCAAAGAAAATATTTAAAAAGAATTTTGATGCGAGAGCACGTCTAGATCTGTATATGGAAAACATAATTTCTCTAAATATAGGTGTTAATGCTTTATAAATATATCACTGTTTCGCATATTGAACTCTCCATTTACACAAAAAATAAATACAATTCCATAGTAATTGTTTAGATAGTTGGTTGCATTTATTATTATCACCCTGTGCTTATGCTACATGTTTCAATATTATAAACACTTAAGTATAAAAAATAAAATACTGCATGTAAAAGTGATCATCACCAGTCAGTTGGTCGCTCCATTTAATCCCAGTATGTAGTCAGACATATTACACACATTTCCAGTATGTACAGTAGTCGTTAGACATATTACACACATTTCCAGTTTGTAGTCGCTAGACACATTACACACATTTCCAGTATGTACAGTAGTCGTTAGACATATTACACACATTTCTTACCACCGGATTTTACATTCATTTCTCATTCATTTTATCAGTCATTTCTTTGTACATTATACGGACATGAGAAATTAAAAGTCCCTGTACAGGCATACAATCATGTACATAGACTGTTGTATCGGGTTAAAATTATTGGTTTCTCTCTATACATAATATGACATTGCACTTTTAGTCTTGCATCAAGCCCCGGGACAACCTGACAACCTCACTTATCCGCGTAAGCTTCAAGGATCGAGGTTGAACAGGGTGTTACAAGGCTTGAAACACGACTATGGTACATTTCAATAAAATTCTATCTATTGTAGATTAAAAAGTCTCTTAAATTGTGCCATATATTACTGTCATGATATAGATATGTCATGGATGATCGTAGACTAGGTTGAAGGGTGTCTTTCTCATATTCAAACATCCAGAGTACTACTCCCCATACTAGGGCAGCAAATACTGGGAATACGTCTCTCTTTGGTGCAGCCACGTAGCCTCGTTTCACTGCAAGTTTTGCCAAGCCATATATGATCCTTGATAGCAGATACAGATTGATCTGGAAAACAAACACAAATAATACAAACTAAAACAAAGAGGCACTGTGTTAGTAGGGACATTTTTGATATTCCTCAGTGTTTTTAAATTGGGAGCTGGGAATGATATTTATTTCATGTCATAGTTATAAAACTTCTAACATTAAAGTTTATGGCCCGTAGCCAGCTTTTGCTAAGGTGAGGGGGTCAATTTTTCTTTTTTTTGATTCCAGGGGAGTTTAAATTTGACAATTTTAACCCAAAATAACTTCAAAAGTGCTAGAAAATATTGAAGAACTGAATGATTTTGAACCCTCTGACCTGCTACTATAAAAGAATTGTTTTGAATTATTTGACTCACACTACATGTACAATAGCATTTTTGGTTTTAATTCATTGGTATTATTTAATTTCTGAACCTAAAACTACAATTAAACTTCTGCTGTTTAAGAAACAACATACGTGTCAGATTACATCCTAATATCCTTTGAAAATAAGCATTATTACATATTTGTTTTCTTTTGTTATTAATATACATGATCTGCACATCCTGTTTGCCTTGACAGATTTCTTATCCAATGTTAACCCAAGTTATCAAAACAAAGATAAACATTCAATTATTCCAATAGAATCATGGACTTATTTTAAGATGAAATTTGTATTGCCACTTTTCAGCATATTTAGATGATCTTTTCAGTCTATTCCTGTGTGAATCCTTAAACAAAAATTACAACTTAAAAAAATATGTATCAACACATCAATGGTTGGGGGGAGATCTCCCCCTATGACAATCAGTCGGAAAGTTGCACAAGTATTAGGTATCATTGGAAAATGTACTCAATTCTCAGTATTTTGAGCTTACTTTTTACTATATTCAGCCATCATTGATGAAGAAATTCATTTTCTAAGAACATGGGGGTTTATCGTTTCCAGTTAAAACTACCGACAATTAGGGTATTTTGGTAACTTTGACCAGCTCGAAGTTTCGCTTAAACAAGCTTAATTCAGTTCTAAGAAAACCCAGAAAGTTACAGATCAAAAGTCAAACTACATGTTTCCTCTGTGGAATTAGTCAAGATAGAAGTTATCTTTCAAATCTATCTATATATTGAATTTTACATGATTCAGCCAAAACAACTTTATTGGATCCTGTATAAAAAATGTGTTTTTGTTCCCATGGAAATGATATGTTATTTATAGTTGAGAAGGAATATGGATTTCATTCAATGGGCAAACAACCTTAGAACAAATTTTCTTGGGATTTATTTCAGAATTAAAAAAAATGGCTTTGTATAAAAAACCTCCTACCTCATACCCACCTACATGATCTTAGTTTAGTTTATTAAAGATCTTAGTTTATTAAATCTAGGTTTATGATGAATTATAGATGCATCTGTAACAACCCTTGATAGCAAGTTGCTACTACATCCCAGCTGGGTTCGATTCCCACTCGGGGCATCGAATTTAGCACACTTTCTTTCCATTTCTTTATCTGGTTTGTTGGATCTTAAAACACATGGACACATTAAAATGCATCCATATGCCTTTATTTATGGATCTGTCATCCGTCTAGTCATAAAATAAAGCCGGAATTGTAGAAATGTTAATAATTTGAGCTATTTTGAGATTAAATAATCTTTTAAATTGAACCCTTCAATGACTGTATCATGTTCCACGTAGGTGGGTATGAGGTATGAGGTTTTTTATTCAAAGCCCAAAAAATTGCCAAAATAAAGCGAACATAAGGCATGTGGCAAGGTATTATCATGGTTAAATATCACCACCTGTAAATGGTTACAAAAGTGTAACAATTGTTACCGATGCTAATTTTTGTCACAAAAAGGTGGTAACATAAGTACTTAGGATAGAAGCATATTACATGTACTCATAAACATTAAAATGCCTTATCATTAGGGGTGGGACGGATAACCGAAATACCGAAAAACCGCGGTTCATAGCCTTCGGATCGGTTTTCGGATCACGGCCCTACTTTCGGATCAGCTTTTCGGATCGTTTTCGGATTAATATTTCATTGGTCAAGTATCAATAAAACAGTTAAAAACACTGTTCTACAGCAACATTTTTGATATTCCTAGTCCCTACCTTGTCTGTCTTGTCTGTTGCTAGCTCACTCGTTTACTAGATTCGTTTCGTATCCGCGTATTCGTATCCCTCGGTAATCAATCATGTGGTCCCTGGTAAATAATAAAGGTTTCTACAAGCATAAATTAGTTATTTTATTGGTTGTATTAAAAGAAAGTGACAGTCAGCAGTGAAGTCAGAGACAAAGCAGCTAATCATGTCAATCAATACAAATCCTTAAAATGAATGAACCGAACCGAAAAAACCGAACCGACGGCTGATGATCCGAAAAACCGAACCGAACCGAACCGAAACGAACCGTCCCATCCCTACTTATCATCATACTATATCATACCTGTTCATTCACTTTATTGTAGTTGCCAAAGACATAGTATCCCCCTATGAACGCAGCAAAGAAGGAATGGTATTGTTCAGGTTTTTCCTCCAACCATGTTAGAATTGACGTCATTGTCTTGTAGAGGAACACAAAAGATGCAAGATTGCGGGAATGAGTCCAAGTTGCTTCAAATATAGACCTCAGTTTGTCAGATAAACTAAAATGAAAAAACGCCATAAAATAAAAATTGTGGGTTTTATTTGACACATCAAAACGTTATTTTCAAAGAAGAAACAGTAGATAACAGTAGAGACATAATATGTTTCATATGTCTCTGATAATATCAAATTGAGGTACTGTAATTGGTTGGATTCAATATATTTTATTCTGTAAATATTATATATACAGGATTATTCAAATTTAGTTCAAAACAGTACTGTCAACCCCCAAAGATTTTCTTGAAGACAGATTTTTTAGACCCAGTGCCCAAAATTTGCGGGATTTTACGGGACATCACCGAAATTTGCGCAATTTCGCAGGACATTTAAGGGATTTGACCGATTGTGCTAATAGGCCAAATTTTGATCGAATAATTCGTGGGATGATCAAATTTCGGAGTTTAAACCCCTGAACCAATCATTCTACTGTATACAAATTTTAAACCACACAATAAAAATCAACTCCTTTAGCATATGGTATGCAACAGAATCTGGGAGTTGATATACAGAAAAACATGAAAAACTGCCTAATGTTAACATATCCAGGGACATATTTTTATTTAAATCTTTACAATTCAACTAAATCATAATAATTCTGTTGTAAAATCAACAAGATTAACTAAGAATTGGAATCTAGAAAAATATCCCCCCTCCCCCTCCCAATGTACAATTATAGACAATATATTAGGCTACAATATGCAGAGTTGTGCAATTGTGGTGTAAAATTCATTACAAAGCATTACCCTCCATAAGAATTTAACCTTATTGGAGATGATTCTTTGTTCTGGCATATATTTACTCAGAATATGTTGTCAGAAAATCATGGCAAGTTACATTTTACCCTACAGGTAAATTCATTGTACAGAGAGAAACGATATTTTCATGACAAAATTGACTGGCACATCTTGTGCAGGTCTAAAATTGAGAAGTTTTGTGATGAGAAAAAAGAATATACTTCTTGGCTTAATTTATTTACCTTCCAGTTTTGAAGAGAAACGTCATAACAACTGCATGGGGAGCTCGGATCTTTGCACCGTACCTGAAAAATATAATCATTGTGAAATATTGGGTTTGATTAGTATGAGTAATATTTACTCAATTCCCTATCCTGCAGCTAGATTACATGTATCTGTATATGATTTGAATTTTTCTGGAAATTAATCTAATGTCTACCCTTTAGAAAGGAATGTTATAAAAACCCTTCGACCTTCGACCTGCACCTTCGACCTTCACCTTCGACTTACAGGGTGTCCAAAAAGAAAATATTATAGAAGCTATTTTTGCCGATCTCAGACCACGCAAGAGTCACTTGATTTGTGGTTCACAGGTGAGATTATTAAGATCTTAAATTGTAGCAACGTTTGCAGTACTCTAGGTATAGTTACAGGGGTGAAATAGCGTTTTCATGTTATCAAATTAAGATTCTGTTGATGTTGATCGGGTAGTCAATCGGGTACTTACTTCCTGGTTTTGATTCGATTGAATCGAAGTAAAATTAGAGAAGTAGCGATCAATTACTGTTCTATTTATTGAGTTCCAATTATAGTCTTGTTGTGTGATCAATATCAAAACGGGATATCGCGTCAATAACTTGTTATTTAACTTTGAAATCTTGTCCGAAAAGTAATGACGTCACCAGGCCTATAAAGTATTTCGCCGATGTAAACTCAAGAGATGACAGCTAGCTTTCGACGAGGACAGAGCTCCGTTCATTTTCATAATCTATGTGAAGTTGGACTTTCAAAGAAATATTTTCGGACTTTGACAATTTTCATAAGAAAAGTCAAAGGTGCAGGTCGAAGGGTTTTTATAACTTTCTTTTTGGCCCGCTTTTTGGACACCCTGTAGGTCGAAGCTGATGGTCGAAGGGTTTTTATAACATTCCCTTTAGAAACAAAAAAATTTACAAACAAACAAACAAAGCAATTGATGTGCATAACATTAAAGGGAAATAATGTAAGTGTCTATATCTCAGTTCATCTGCATCTGTGGGAGGGGAATGCCTGTTACACAAGGTCTAGAACATCAGCCTAATGTATGTATGTAAGTGTTACATAAAGGTAAGACTCTAGGACTCCCTCAAAGAGATGCCTACTTAGTATCTTAGCAGATCAATAATCATCTTCAAAATAAGGGAGTTAGTGGTCAATATTGTAATTGTAAGCTTACGTCAAGGGGGCTCACTTCTCTGTCTATATAATTACAACATTGGAGAATAATCAACTCATCTAACACTTAAAATATATACCTCAATAAATTCTAGAAAATTTTAGGATTAGATCTTAAGTGAAGACCTACATCATTTTGAGAGAATTTTTGACCAAAGGGGAGGGTTCGCTTTGGGGTTTGCTTGCACTCCTTGAACCCCCCTGGTAAGAGCCTGCATTAAATACATACTCGTTGGTTAAAGCAATAAAAGCAACATAAAAGTCCATTACAAGGGTCAATGTTCAGCAATTTGAAATTTTATATTTGATTTTTTCAAAATTTGATCAAAATTTTCAACTCTACACATTGATTTCTCAGAATCCGCACTGGATCAGAGCATGAATTATTGCAAAAATATATCGTTTAAGTAATGAATAAAATGATCTTACACTGCTCCATTTCGAAGACCTTTAATAACTGCTAATAAAGGCTTAAATTGTCCAGAAGCCAGAAATTGGTTCACAAGTTGTACTGCAGTCGCCATCTTGAAATATCACGTGATATGGCGTACAAATTGCCCTTACAAAAAGTTATAGCGTTTGTATCAGGGTTCTGCATATGCATCTTGCCTACATGGAACTCTTTTTAGAATCATAATGCAAAAAGCACATGATTATTCTGTATTTTGTTAGTATGAATCAATCCGTTATGGCAGTGTTAATCTTTTATGCTATGATTATTTATGAACTAATCCTTTAGATCATTGCGCTTAGGATTATGCATTTGTGTCCGATTCCAGCCAATCCAAACACAGTATTTCAAATAACTGCACTGCATCATACAGCCAACTTACCACCCAAGGTCATTTATTGAATGGTTGTCAAAGTGACAAGTGGACTCTACAGATTGAAATTGATGATTTGCCAACTTGACCCTTACAAAAAGTTTCATTGAAAATATGTTCTTTTAATGATTTCGTATCTTTTAGGTGTTTTCAAAGAAAATATTTTGCAATGTGTGAAAAGAATTTAAGTAGCTGATTCATTTCATTCAGGAATTATTTCCAAAACTTCACAGTCGATACTGCGCAAAGGTTGAAAAACACATTTTTGAGGAATGATTCAGTCTGCAATGCACGGAGTCCAGGGCTTAAATCTTTTGACCAATCCTCTATTATTGTGCTACGATTATTCACTGAACTGATGGTTTATGATCGTACTGGAATATCTTTTATGATTGATTATCATGGGCTTTCTCTTGAAATTCCATCAGGTTATGCATGAACCAATTATTCATGGATGTCTCAGGATTATGCATAAACTAATCCTTTATGATTGTGTTAGGATTATGTATGAACCAATCCTTCATGATTGTGCTAGGATTATGCATGAACCAATATTAATGACTGTGTTAGGATTATGTATGAACCAATCCTTTATGATTGTGCTAGGATTGTGCTTAAACTAATCCTTCATGATTGTGCTAGGATTATGCATGAACCAATCCTTTATGATTGTGCTAGGATTGTGCTTAAACTAATCCTTCATGATTGTGCTAGGATTATGCATGAACCAATCCTTTATGATTGTGCTAGGATTATGCATGAACCACTTCTTTATGATTGTGCTAGGATTATGCATAAACTTATCCTTTGTGATTGTGCTAGGATTATGCATGAACCAATCCTTTATGATTGTGCTAGAATTATGCATGAACTATTTCTTTTTGATTGTACTAGGATTATGCATGAACTGAACTATTCCGTTGTGATTGTACAAGGATTATGCATGCACCAAACTTTTATGACTCTGTTGGGAACATGCATGACCAATCCTTTATAATTGTACTTGTGCTAGGATTATGCATGCACCAAACTTTTATGACTATGTCAGGATTATGCATGATCAATCCTTACGAGTTGTGCATAGGATTAGGCATAAACGAATGATTGCTCATGACTATGAAAGAACTAATTCTTCATGATTATGCTCATGATGGTGTTGTGCATTAACAAGTCCTTTATGATAGCGTTTACGATTTTGCTTCTTCATGATTATGCTGACTATTGATTGTGTTTACTAAACTAGTATTATATTATGATTGTGATTAAACTTTGGAAAATGTAAATCTCAAGATTGTGTTCAAGCACCTTGGGTATCAAGGATTGCATATGAACTGGTCTCCAAGTCTATGGATCTCATGAAAATCAAAATGGTGAATTTTCATGAAAGGCTTCGATTATTTCTCATGCCAGTATCATCTTCTGATTATTGACATACTTCTCATAGAACTCCACTGCTAAGGATAGGTATCAATGTGGCGAACTGAATTCAACAATGTTTTTCTCTTAAACCAATTATTCTGTAAAAAAACATGGTTCTTTATGTAATGTTGATTGATTGACAACAATTTAATGTGAAAACTATTTATATATATATTTTATATAACTGAATTTGTTAAGGTTTTTTGTTTTTTAGTGCAATTGTTTTTTGTTCCTTTCTACCAATTCTAAATACGTTGTGTTTATGTTGTTTTGTTCCAATGGGGTTCGGATAGATGTTTCATTTCATTCCAAACACATGGTTTTAGAGAAACATGTGTTCAAAAAGTTCACCATATCGATACCAATCCTTTGTAATTATGAAACTAATTACATGTATTTCAAAATGCTCACTTTTACTAATGCTAGTACAAATTGTTGAACGTTCGTAGACATTCATTGTGCTTTGGACTGCATAGAAATAACATCTCTTCTGTGAACATCATATGATATTCAATAGCAATTAATTAAGAGAGGTGGATTCAGGCTAATGAGTTACAGTAGCCAACAGGACTGTATCGAACAATCATTGAATTTTATGTCAAATGGAAAAGTGGACACAAGCTTAATAATAAGTGGAAGTCCAGATATATTTCCTATTGACTAAATGTAAATGGACCTCTATAACAATAAGTGGAACACTTCCCAAATGGAATATAATGTTGGAGTACCAAGAGTGTTCCACTTAAACAAGTTTAACTGTGCCAAGATTATTACATGAGGGTTCATAATTTTATGCAATGTATGAATATTCTGAAAATTCAGTGACCTACTTTTTGAATGCCTGGAATAGTTATTAGGACTCAACAAGTAATCTAGATGTATCAATGCACTGCAGTTAACATGCAAACAGTCACCACCTGCCATTTGTTACAGATGCTGAACACCAATCACTGAATGCTGAACATGGTCCCATAAAAAGTTGAAGACTATCAATATGTCACCACTTGTGATGGTGTCATGACAAAACTGAATGATATTAGAGCATGTATGGATAGGAATGAGTTATATTATGTACCAACTCCAATTAGGAAGCCACTAAGATTTTTAACACTGTTGTATAATTCGGTCACTTCAGGTAAAATTGTGCCAAGAATGTGCATAAAATATCTCATGGTTGTTTCAGTCAGGATGAAATGTCAAGCTGAAATTGATTCGTGCCTTACTATTACTTTGCATATGTGCAATGTGATTTTCATCATGATTCCTTGAAATCCAAGCTGGAGTTTTTCCATGAATTGAAAAGCTGAATTGTCATTGAACTGTCCTCGACATGGATGGTTACTATAAAATATGCCATCTAACAATAAAAAGCTTTCTCAGAATACCAAGCCTGATTCTTGGCTGAGGTCATGGAGGCGTATGGTTCAGTGACGTCTTCATCGCCTGACACTTCCGCTGTGTCTTATCTCATTATAGCTGTAAGGTGTTGGTTTGTGTCTGGCTATGACAGTTCAAGCTTACATGTAAGTCCCTGCTTGAGGGTTGAAAAGTATTTGGACAAGATTGGAAATTCAACAGAGAGAGATGCTATAAGAATCAGAATGACTACAGTACATATTAATTTATCAAATTAATTGACTCAACAAACACTACACAGAATTCATTTATTGCACTTAGTATATTTAGCTTTCTGAGAAACTGATATATTATACATTCACCAATACCCAATACTCTTACATGGCAAAAACCCATTTCTGAAAATGTTTCACTAGTTGGATTGCCATTGTATGTTGAATATTGATATACTAACAAAGTTAGGCTCCAGCCAGGTTTCTGAAAACAATATTGATGGCATTTTGAAATTTGAAAGTATAAATTATTGGTTGCGAATTGCGATACAAGAATACTCATCATATAATATTGTATTCCCAGTATTTTTCATGTGCAATTCATTTCTTGCTTTTCATGTTTAACTCAAGAAACTCAAAGGGGTAGGAACAAAAAAATTCGAAGCAAATGTGTGACATATACGCAATTCGCGTGAAAATTCAGAACGTATTGCGTTAGTTTTTTCGGCATTAGTTTTTTGTTGTATCGGTGTTCATTTTTTTGATGTTCTTCTCCAGAAATATTTTTGCTAGACAATAATCAGAAAAATGCATATCTGCATGACATATTCTGTCACGCAAAAAAACTGGCGTGACTTCAATTTCTCCAGAAAATGTGTGGCAAATACGTAAATTGCGGGACCGTTGACAGGCCTGCTTGAAGATTCAGAGAATAATGAAATTTAACTTCGCGAAATCCGAGTATTTCTAAAGTGTTCGTTTTGCACAGTTACATATAAAATGTATTTTTATATCTATGTTTAACAGTAAAATCTGAAGGTAAAAATGTCTCATGCAAAACCAATACTCCATATAAAGCAATGGCACTTGTCAGATGCATGATTTTTCACCCTTTGACTACCCATGGCGACAGATATATCAGCCACATAATTTCTCACAAAAATGACTGCACTTTTGGCAAATTTTGTTCAATTTACACAAAAATATATCTCAAAATGTGTGTACTGTTTCTACATACAGATTTTTAGACTTAATCTGATTTTTGCTGATTCCATTTCAATTTTGTCAAATTGAAGAGGTTTTACAAAGAAACATTGTGAAACATTTACACAAAAATGTGTAGCCTTAGTTTAATGTTTTAGCACACAGGAAAAGCCATAAATTACATTTTAGATAAGCAAGTTTAAATTTACCTAAAAGACTAGAATTGACAGCAAAACCTGTATATCTGAATGCCATTGGGACCAGCCAAAAGAGTTTGGAATGGCAGGTGTTCACATTTCATGTATTTTTAACAAGGGAGTCAATGGTGTTTGAATAACATTGTTCAGATATACAGTTTTACTGCATATAATTTTTTCTTTCTCATTACACAACCTGTGCACAAAACATAATATTAATTGTCTCATTTTTGCTCATCATGATTCAACACATAACTTATATATGATCCCATACGTGAATCTTGAATTCCAATTACTGGAACTTGTGAACTGACTTCTGACTTAAAGGCCCCATGTAAAGTTTAAACCACTTTGGCTTATATTGTAGTCTTAACCAAGGTTATCAAAGTGTGATATGTGAAACTTTTTTTTTTAATTTCAAAAAGTGGTTTTTGATAGACTTTTTGTTCCAAAATTTGTGAATTTATTTAAAACCAACTTTTAGAGGTCACTTATATCTTCTAATAAGCCACAATTCATACCAATGCATAGCATACACCCTCCCATGTTTTTTGCCGAAAAAATTAAGAAAATCGGTTGATAAACAAGCGAGAAATGAACTTATCAGTGCATGAAAATGGTTCTGAGAAAAATGCATTTCAAAATTTTAGTTCTCATAGAAACCAATGGTACAATGATATCTAAAACATAATTTATTCTTCCTTTTAACCTGGTTAGACAATCAACATTGGTTTTTTAGGAAAGTCTAGCATATTTAGAAAAGATTGACATCGAAAAAAAAAAGTTTTTGTTACCTTAGTGACATCACTAATGTTTCAAAATATTTTTGATAAGCTAAAACATTGAAGTGGCCCATTAAATATGACATTTTATTATTGAAATAGTGTGTCTTTTGTGTTCAATCTTTGCATTGGTGTTAAAAATATAATCTTTTTTTAAATGCATTAAAAATATTTGATGATTAAGAAATTTCAACTTTTTTTTAAAAATGGCGGGAAATTTGAATATTTGAGAAATGAAATGCTCACAACTTTTTTTTCAAAAAAAATTTTTTGTTCAAAAATCTCTAAAATCATTTTTTAAGTCCTGACAAATAGTAAATGAATGATAAAAAAATATTTTCAAACTTTAGACGGGGACTTTAAGCTGTATGTGTACTGAAAATAATATATGCATGCATGCACACAAAACACTTTTCAAAAGGTAAGTGGCTAAATGCATGTTTGGTGAGAGACACATTGGACAACCATTAATATGCTTGTCAAATATAACCATATTGAATTAAAAAATATAGTGATTTCTTGTATGAAAAATAACAAGGGAAATTTTCGTAGATAAACACAAAAAATCTTTGCTCTGGCTTGATAGGATTTTGTCCATAGATTTGTCTTGTCTGTCATTTAGATTAACTACTTTAAAGATGAAGGATTGAAGTCTCACACCAAAGATGCATTTGTCCTCTTACATGTATATATCATTGTATTGATCCATCCCTAAATAATTATACTTATATCATAATAAAAAACCTGTGACTCATGTGCTTAAACAGCACAAGAATTAGGCCATTTCTGAAAATTTGTAAAAAGAAAAGCAAGAGGTCCTAATTTTTTAAAATAAAAATCAGAGCCATTTTTGTAATTTAGACCTACTTTCCTCCAAAATTAGGCCTATTTTGACAAAATATGTACCAAAGAGGCAAGCTTAATGGTATACACAAATCACATCCAGTTCCTACTTGTAACTTTGCAGCAAGGACATGTAGCAACAATAAATAAATAAATGAACACATGTTATTCTAAGCAAAATTGTCTCTGTGCCTCCTATGACCATATCCCTATGACTGATATACATGCAAGAAATCAGGCTGTAAACATTAAAGACTACTACATGTATACAGTGCGTATCAAAAAAATGCAACAGATCGTTATCTCGGAAAAGCACAAAACCAGTGATAACAGCATTGATTTCATTCAATGCACCATAAAGCCATGTGTCTCCTCTTTAGAATGATATATCATTCATTGATATTTGGTCATGGTTGGGCGAGTAATCATTCCATTTGCAAAGTGAGTAAAAATTAGCTTGTGACCAAGTAATAAACATAGCAAAAGTCAGTGTACAGAGCCTGATGCAATATTGGAAGCAAACATAAAACCAATGCTGACTGCATCCTTTTCATTCAATGTACCAAAAAGCCAAATTAATCCTCTTTGCAAAGGAATATCATTCATTCACAGGGAGTCATGGCTGGCCGAAAAATCATTAATTTTGCAAAGTGGGGCAAAATTCAGCTCAGACTCAAGTTTCAAACATTGCAAAAGTCAGTACAAGGGACATAGGGGCTATTGGAAGAAGGTGTGACAGGTGTGGCATAGACAGTAAAGTGTTCATACCCATACTCTTGCAAGAATACATCCTATACCCCTCCAAATTGCCACCACTTCCTTGCACACAGAGATGCGCTCATCTGTCCACGTCATGCATGGTTCAGCCCTGAGTCATCTGTGGGTTAAACCAGAGAAAACCAGCCCATTGGCAATTTTTTCTCGAGGTTTTGCAATATTTGGTGAAGGAATTGTGAGCACAGATGCTGCTGAGATAGCTCAAAAAAAAAAGTGACAAGAATTCAAGTCAGGGGAACTTCCACTGGCACTTAGCCCTTGCACTGATTTTTGCAATATCTAAAACTTGGTCCAGAGCCGATTTTCACCCACTGTGCAAATGGAAGGATTTCTCACCCAACCATTACCACATGTGAATGAATGACATATCATTGCAAAGAGGAGAGACCTGGCTTTAAGGTACATTGAATGAAATTGATGTAGTCATCACTAGTTTTGTGATTTTACGAAATAACTACTTGTTGCGTTTTTTTGATACGCCCTGTAGTACTACTATACATGTTCTAATATTCTATCTTGCCTGAAATTCATTCTTACAACCATCAACTTTTTTTACATACATTACACTGTTTGTATATAACTAAACTAAAAGAAGAAGATGTGAGAAATCAAATGGTGGTACAGGTTGAGCCAAAAAAGGTAACCCAAACAAATGTTAATAACTCAGCCATCCAGTAATTGGTTTTAAGTCATATTTGGCTCAATTGAAGCTTGTTCAATTTTCTTTCATTCTTCCAAGTTTCAAAGGTCAATTTCCAACTGTCCCGATTTCATGGCCATTTTACAAAACATTATAAAAATGCCAAAACATATCTGTATCACCATATGAACCCCAAGAATTTTACCTTTTGGACTATTACAAAGATAATGTGTATAAAAACAACCCTGGAAGCATGAGAGTTAAAACAGAAGATTAGAAAGGATATTACAGCCATTAAACAAGATATCTGTGAGTATGTAGTTTGTTTTGTAAAATGGCCATTTAATCGTGATCATTTGGGATAGACAAATGAAACTTGGTTGAGTTGAAAAACATTGAACAAGGTTCAATTGTGCTGAATATTCCTTTAAACCCATAGTGAATGACTGATTTATTAAGATGAGTTTGGTTTACCTTTTTTGGCTCACCCTGTAGTTACATCATATTTATCCTATGGATACTAAATATATATGGGGATAATTTCGGCATGGGCTACTAAAATCATATCTAAGTGATATGATAGTACTATAATAAATATGTTATCCCATGACTTTCTCAGGCTATCATTTATATCCACTCATGAATATCACCACTCTCTTGCTACGCTAACTAGTAGAGATGGTCGATATCCACTCATGGATAAAAATGATATCCTTCAAAATTCAGGACATCCTATATCTCCTTTTCATAATTCATATGTCTACCCCTGTTATCCTGTCATAATTTATGTAATATGTACTACTATTAGTATAATATGCACTATGCACTGCATGCGGTATCACGAGTCTGGTTAGCTACACTTGAGCGAGTCTTGACTGGCGGAACAATGATTTTCCATTCCCCAACAGTTGGTTTCCAGATGAGCATTTGTGCATTGTTCGCATTTGGAGCAGTGAGCGCATATAAAGGTATTAAGATATTATTGTCTAGTATAACTGGTTGTCCCGGATCTGCTCCTGTGAGCACTGTTGCACGACTCCCTAATGGCCTCTCGGGCGACACAGCTATTTCTAATCCAAGTGACCATTCTATGGTTTTCAGAATAAAATATTGCCCCGTGTTGACTCGCTTAGCAACAAGCCAGGTATAGAATGACTGCTGACGATGAATGTGTGTAAGACCAGGAGGTCCATTCATATCTGTTTTGTATGGTACAGTCCATGTAACATGAGGATGAAAATTGTCATTCATTGACACTGTGATCACCTTGTAATCTTGGATTGGGCCTTCTAGCGTGGTCAACTCATTCCTTGAGCCATACCATGGGAATGTTTTTCCATCAGAATCACTGATCATTTTATAGGCACCAGAGGTAAGTTCTGGGAACTCCCAACTTGAGCTGAAAATCAGATAGGTCATTCATATTAAATAATGTTATAAATAATGTTCCATAACGTTTATTGATAGAATTATAGGATATCAATAATAGGTAAATATGGGTACAAATATGTTCTAACAAGCGAAGTAGCCATGCCATTTAAGGTTGTCAATGTATTTCCCCTCAATCTTTGACATTTATAAAAATTATTTAAAGAGGTAATGCATACTCATTTACATAAAAATCAGAATAATCTTTGAAATTCGTAATGTCTATATGTAGCTCTAATAAAACGAGATTCCAGATGCTAAAGAATAAACATGTTTTACAAAATTGTAACCCATGCGAAGAAGATTTGTATGGATTGGGAAATTCTATTTTTTATTTTTATCAAAGAACCTCAACTTCTCATTTAACAGTTTGCATATTGTTGTAAAATGAATAGTGATTTTAATATTTGGTTATTTTTACTCCCCAGAGTTACAAATTAGGCCTAATATGAAACTGAGATTTAATGATGGTTTGTTTTAAAATAGAAGCTAATTGTCTCTTTAATAAAAATTCACATGATTAAATGTATGAAGACTGCTGATTAAATTATTTAACCTTCGGAGCCAATGCAGTCATGATAAAATGTGCCATCATACATACATATACTCCTGTATGAACATCAAAATCATAAGGATACTCCATAAATAATATGAACTTTAAAGATATAGGCAGGGCAATAACAAGGCATTAACATGCAAAATGTCACCACCTGCCAATTGTTACAGACACCAAACAGTGACCACCAAACGCTGAACACAAAAAAGTTGGAGACTATAACAATATGTTACCACTCGTGGTGTTGACATAAAAAATATTTTGACTCTTTTTGAAAAACTAGCCAAATATGTTTGAATATCCCTTTAATAGATAGCATGCTATCAAAGTGCTTTTAACCTTTTGGTGAATAGTATAGTTTCCATATAGCTTTTGAAATCTCGCTAAATCTCGTTTTTCGTGAGATTTTAAGAGACTTGCATATTAGACCTCTAATGACTTACATTACCTTCTTTTAAATGGCATATTTGAATTCAGTGAAATATTTTCTCCTTTAATAGCTTTGATTTACACAGTTATGTAATTTGAATAATTTTCTATAACAATTTAAAAAAACTTGGGCCAAATGTCCATAGATGCAATGCTAAAATTCTTTAAATCCATGGATTATTTGTATGTCAATCAACATTTGCATGTTTAATCACATCATGTACATAAACAGGGTCATCATGTGGTATATCATTCAAGTTTTATACAGATTCAACAAACACACTTTGATAAATCATGAAATTAAGCCACTTTTCCAAGATTTTAGCATGTAAATGAATGGAGCTCTAGCCCGAATTAAAAGCTGAATAAAAGATGGCAGCACGAGATTTCATTGACTTTTCTGCTATTTAGAAACTATCCTATTAAAGGGCAACTTTATATTGAAAAATAAACATGCACCCTTTCTAGAATTCATAACATGCAATGAATATGTATGAAATGTACAAAGAATTAAATTAAATTTCAAAAACACTGACGTATTTCTGGAGGCTGATGTAAACTGCAATAGAGATGGACTTTGTTTTGAAAAGTACTTGCAAACTTAGCCACACCTTTTAACCCTTTTAAGTATTAAGTACTTTTTTTGATCATGCGTTTGATAGATTACTAAAATAGTAATATATGTAAACATGACATACATAAATTGGCATGTAGGTATGTTTAAGTAAAATCAAAATTAAATTTACAATCACAAAAGATTTCTAATATTTAGGATGCCTACGAAAACATATAATATATGGAGGCTATTTAATGGGATTGATAGAATAGGAGGCTATTTAATGGGAGGGATGGAATATTAATTTCATTATGAGGGAAAATATGATATTGGCCATGGAAAATATCATATTGACCGAGGTTGACAGCCCAAGTGTCAATATACTTGTACTATTTTCTGAGGACAATATCACATTTTCTTGAGGAAAAAAATCATATTCCATCAAGACCATCAATAACCTATTTATTCATTAATATTTTTTTGAAACTCATTCATTTTAAAGTTTGATTTGTCATCACCCAAAGATGGTGACATAAAGTGATACAACATTTTCTACTTTCTTAATTTGTTATTGTTCCCGATGGCGATTTGAGGGATAGAACTTTTCTAAAAAAAATTTAAATTGCCAATGAAGGAAATTTTGCTCCTGTCACCATTTGGACTTTTTTACTTTCACTAATTCCCACCATTAAAAGTCATTTTTTCCAAGCTATAATTTTGTTCATTTGCACTTAATTTAAGAAGTCAGGTACATACATCTGGATTGGGCATTTGAAATATAAAGTGAAACTGATAACAGTCACACACATTTTCAAAACATGATGTCATGCCAATAGATAAGTTCAACTGAATGTACCAGCCTGAGTATTCTGATACTCCAACCCTCCTTTTGTCTTACAATGATACACAAAACATGAAGGAATGGACCGAAAAGCAAGATATCTTGTAATGAGAGATTACAGCAGCAAACACAGGCAAATTACATCGGACCCCATAAAAGCCCGTACAGAGCTCGTTAAGTCAATGGGCCTTGTACAACCTCGTACAGGCCTGTACGAGTCTCGTCACGGGCCTCGAAAACGAGCCCGTATGAGGATCGTGCTCCTTTTTGCCCGTACTGACTCGTAAATCTTGAGGCTCATACGAACTCGAACGAGGCCCGATGTAATTTGCGTAGAGCATGTTGTATCAAAATTGAGTAATGAGAGAACCTTAGCCATTTTTGCCTCAAATAAAAGGATTTCTTCATTTTTCACCTCAGTCGCAAGTAATATATCATGAAATATACTTCTATGATATAGTTTGACTTACCAGCCTTCACTGCCATATGTGTTGACAAATTCCATGTGTGTACAAGCTTGGATCCAGCCTATCTGCCATGTTTCCCCTGAGGGTACAGGAGGAACCTCTAAAGTAGCTGATGCCCTAAAATAATACATAACTCAATATATAAGCAATTTATACTCCATTGAAGGTATAGGTAGAACCTCTAAAGTGGCTGATGCCCTAAAATAATACATTATTCAATATATAGGCAATTTATACTTCATTGAAGGTATATGTGGAACCTCTAAAGTAGCTGATACCCTAAAATAATACATCATTCAATATAGGCAATTTATACTCCATTGAAGGTATAGGTAGAACCTCTAAAGTAGCTGATGCCCTAAAATAATACATTATTCAATATATAGCCAATTTATACTTCATTGAAGGTATGGGTAGAACCTCTAAAAGCCTGATACCCTAAAATAATACATTATTCAATATATAGGCAATTTATATTTCATTGAAGGTATAGCTGAGACGTTTAATAGTAATGCCCTCAAATAATATGAATAGTATTCAATGTACAGATATACAGTATAGGCAATATACCCCCCCCCCCCAAGGAAATGACATAAAATGCTCTAACCATGAAACAAAATGATTAAATATTGATTGTGCGTCATCATAATAAGATCATGATTTCCTGCTTTTTTATCTTGCTAAAATGTCATATTGACATTTGAAGTATTCAAAATAGCTACATGTACTAACTATCCTGAAGGTAACAGTTATTATAGGAGAAAACACAAATTCTCATTTTTTCATGAGATTTTAAGAGATTTGCACTTTTAACCTCTTACAACTAAATTTTCTTTCTTTTTAATAGCATATTTGGATTCAGTGAAAAGCTTTCCAAAATAATAACTTTGACAATTTTTCAATTGACGAGTGAGGGGATCACATTGAAAGAAACGGTTGAACAGATAGGATATCCTTATATCAAAGTATAAATATATCTTAATGAATGTATTTTTATATACTTTTAATACTTTATTATTATTTCTTCTGTAATTGTAAAGTTGTAATATTTTATTGTTTGATGTTCATTTGGCCTTAAGGCATCAGTACAAATAAATAAATAAATCCTATAGTTTATCCAATTCCCTCCACACGATCCCCTCCATGTGCTGCACTTTTGATTGCATCACCAGCTATAATACGTACCAAGTCATTGATTGATTGAATTACAGTTCAACTTTTGCACACTGCTGATATTGTGCCATACTGTATTCAATAGATCAAAAAACTCATACAAAAATGATACACTGTTGGACAATTCAACATACCATGGGCTTATACATTAAACAATTCAACATACCATGGGCTCATACATTACACAATTCAACATACCATGGGCTTATACATTAAACAATTCAACATACCATGGGCTCATACATTAAACAATTCAACATACCATGGGCTTACACATTAAACAAGTCAACATACCATGGGCTTATACATTAAACAATTCAACATACCATGGGCTCATACATTAAACAATTCAACAAACCATGGGCTTATACATTAAACAATTCAACATACCATGGGCTTACACATTAAACAATTCAACATACCATGGGCTTATACATTAAACCATTTTTTAAACTTTCTAAAAAAATACCTATCTTGTGGGCATATGTCTTAGAGAGTTCGTTTCAAAAATTCACAATTTGATATAATACAATATTGCTTTTATATTCTATAGTTTTAGCTGCCATTTAAACATTTCATGCTTTCTAAATTGAACAATGACATAATGTCAACTAAAGCTGTATTAACAATTTGAATATTGATTAGACTGGCTGTTGAAGAATACAGGGTGTCTCAAAAAATATAACCAAAAGTATGTCAATAGCACGGATAAACCAATCAATATTTTTGGGTATATTTTGAGACACTCTATAAATATTACTAATGTCCGAAGTACTTCAAGAAATGGTCAGATAATAGGTAGTGGTAGGGGCAATATTGAGTCTTGCCTAAATTAACAGTAAAATAAAATGCAATTTGTACATTTTACACATGAAATAAAAACAGGTATTATTTGCACAAAGATTAATTTGATTTGTAGTTATGATTTAAAACAAATTTGCTCTGGTTTAATTATTTAGTAGGCCATTTGACATATTTCCTGAAGAACTTTAATACTGATTGTGGAGTTAATAAACTCAATTTCCAAAATTTGAAATGGTTAAACGAGGCTTTAACATGCAAAATGTCACCACCTGCCCTTTGTTTTAGACGCTGACTGCTGACTTCTGAATGCAAAACGCTGACTGCCATCCACAAAAAAGTTGGAAACTCTAACAATATGTCACCAACTCAACACTTCTAGTGGAGACATCACAAAAAGTGCCAGATTTGGTTGTAGGAAAACACTTTTATGGTTGGAATATGACATGTATGACTGTGAAATGGATCAACTTGGATTTAATGGTATCATCATTATTTTGAAAATGTCATTCATTCTTAAACTCAAAAGACTGATGATAATTCAGCGGCAGATCCAACAATTAACAAGGGGGGCCAGAATTTTGAGTCTGGAAAAGAATGTCCGGACTAGTTTGCAAAAGATTTTGGGCCCCTAAAACCAAAAATTGAGCCCAAATTTTGAAAAATCAAGGCCAATTTTTTAATAAATTGGCCCAAAAAGGCCAAGTTACGTCCAAAAAGGCCCATTTTTTCAATACCCATCCCCTTTTCAGAAGATTAATATAATGTAGAAGAAACTTTTCATACATTCAAATTAAGAAAAACAAGATCCTCTTTTTAGAAGCCCTACATCTTTAAAAAAGTGACAAGTGACACTTGCCATACTAAACATGGACCTTTACAAGCATATTTGCACCACGCAAAATACCTAATTCAGTAATTGACTTAATTATCATTTGTATATACATTTTCTTCGGATAATGAATGGATCTTAAACCTGCACATCGCTCCAAAACGCAATATGTTGACATATATTGTTTTTACATTTTCAAGCTCTAATATAAAGTTTATGTAAATAAAAATTGTTTTTTTCTGCGTAATATCAAAGAACAATCATTTAGTTAAAATAATAAAAAGGCGAATGCGGGATTCGAACCCGGACCTCCCGCGTGCTCGGCAGGGATTCTACCGCTACACCACCATATTATTATAAATGGTGGAAGTAATTAAACGCTACTTATTTTGAATGCTATGATTCGGAAGTGACGTCACGTTCTTCATTTAGAAACCTTTCCAAAATCATATCGCCGGCTCCGATCGAAGCAAATTCAATGAAAAATCTTTGAAATGACACATTTATGGTAAGTATTTCTACACAAGATTTGCCCCATTTGTTCATCATTCTATAATGTTTCATTAAGCTCAAAATGATAAAGTTCACCCCCGAAACAACCCAAGATTGCGTTTCGGAGCGTAGTCCAGCTTCAAAGATATGCCTATCTCTGAAGTCAGCCTGAGCGGTTGAGCGTTTTAATCCAAGAACTGTCTAAAATTGTTTGCAATAACCTACATGTATATGTCTTGCAAATTTTGCTGCAATATTAACTTTTATTTAATGTCCATTAAGTTAGCGTTTGTTTTTGTCACTAGTATGTCAATATGGGCCAAGACTCAGCACGATCAATTATTGATCATAAAAGAGTATAATGTTCCATCATTTCTTTTTTTAATTGTTATATGTAATCCAGTTCATTCTGACACTTATCTTTTTTTATGATTTTAAAAATACATTTCATTATAAAATATTGATTCTAAGATACAGTACACTACACTGTTGCGTCTTTGTGATTTCGTAACCTTTCAGAAAAAATATTATTAAAAATTGAATTAAATGGCCAATTATTATTAAGCTTACTATAGAGTAATATTCGGATGAAATTAATTCGTAATCATATTCCCTAGGATTAGTAGATCTATCTTTATAATTATTAGTAAAACTATACCTTAAATGTGGAGTTTTATATTTTAGAACAGCAGAGCATTCTTCAACCTCTGTCAATTTCTTTTCAATAATTGCATTAATTTTGAGAATCTGTACATTTTGCTCAAAACAGTAGCAATTTCCATTTCCATTGATGTTTTTGTTCTGACAATATTGATTTGTTTGTCTCATCTTGTTGAACTTTCTCCAAGCTACTTTCTTTCCAGCTTGTCTAGGAAGACTATGGTTTGCACCCATACCATTGTTTTTGTTACTGTTTCTCCCAAACAAGTTTCTCCTCTGCTCCAAGTTGGAATGGAAGTGAAGTGATGGCTCAATTTTGGCAACTCAATTTTATTGCCTATTTGAGAAGAGCAGACGAGAAATTCGCTATTCGTTTATCGCATCGAAACCGCGAAATCAGTCCTGATATTACTTTACATCATGTTTGGCGTTGCATACACATAAGCCATGTTTATATAATATCCTAAATCGTTGTGAAAATACGGCTAAAACTTTAGAAATGACGCATCCAAGGACACAGCAACCAATCGTTTATTTATGTGTTCTCGAGAAGTGACCTGTATTCTGAGAAATAGGGATGACGTCACTGAACTACATTATCGAATTCTAAGAAATCGGGCAGTCAAATGAATACGTCAGGTCAATCACTATGGTGATTCAGGATGAGCATGTCACAATAACCTCTCCGGCGAACGAATGGGTCAGTATGACCTGTATTTGCTACTTTTGACAGGCCACGTGCTCAAAACTTCCGGTGTAAACAAAAAGGTTACGGCCTTGACCTTAAAATAATTAATTTGAATAAGCGTTAGAAAGAAGTACATTTGACTGTGACTAAAGTTCAATATTTCTCGATTAGTCGACTTTATATCATACTAAAAATCTACAGATACCGCTTGTGAATACACCAAGCATGAGGAGGACTAATCAAGGACGCAATCAAAACTCTAAAAGTGAGGATATCAACGATGAAGATATGAGAAAATGTTCCAATGAAAAAGAACGTGGTGGAAGTGTACAGAATCAGTTTGGGGAGGTAAAGATTAAAAGGTGGATTGGATCGAGTGGATTGGATTTATGTAAAAGGTGGATTGGATCGGGATTCTTCAAAATATGGATTTTCCTTAAAAAAATTATATTGATCTCCCATCAAACGATTAATGCTCTTCTCACTTCCACAATGTCAAATAATAGATGTTATATCATTTTGCTTGGGTAGCCTAGAAAGGTGACCTGATACACAATCTTATTCATTCCAAGGGTAATTTTAGACATTTCACAAATCATAAGGCAGACTTTTCAAGTCGAAGATCCATATCATCTGTTTTAAATTCAAACAGAACATGGCAGAATGTCTTGGGAAGACCCACACATCAATTTGAATGACAGCTTTTATCTACCGATCTATGTTTATTATGTCTTACTAATGTTGATTTACAAGGGAGAGCAGTTAAATGCTTTAGAGTATCTATCAACTAATTGAAGTATGTATTTGTCATTGCTTTGTCAATTCTTAAAGGGACCCAAGTAATCACAAAATACTTTAGGCCGGAGGAAATTGCTTAGAGGGAGATCAACTAAAAAATCCATATTTTGAAGATTCCCAATCCAATCCACCTTTTACATGAATCCAATCCACTCGATCCAATCCACCTTTTAATCTCTACCTTTGGGGATGGAAATCAGTTTGGATTGTTAGTTTGGGACACAGAGCTAAGCAGAAATTTCGCTGTTTGTGCGGATTCTGGCTCTAAATATGGTTATCTTAGACCAGTGATGAAATGCTTAGAGTATAGTGGACATGGAGTACCATGGATAGCTGGGACAATATTTGCAATTTTAGCCACTCATCAACTGAAGCTTCATGTCACACTAATTAACTTCCTTGCAGGTGAACACTTTATTGTAATAAGCTGATAATTGACATGATTTTTACGCAATTTGTTGAGTCAAGAGCTTGGGAGAGCGTACCTTAGTGGGGAATAATTGTGCAGGCGGATCTCACTTGTGAAATGTTCCAATTCAATTTCAATTTAACACATGTTTTAACAGCAGCATTTAGATGAATATGGACTCTGATAAGGGGCTGTGTCAATATTTCAATGTCCGTCAAAACATAATTAATTAGGCTAGGGGGAGGATATTTAATTAGGGGACGTACATTGAGGTTTAGTTTACTAGGATTTTGTCTTCTGCAATTTCTGGTTTGACAGCCATGATATCATGATCATTAAAATATACGTTCAGAACTTCAGATATGTAGAAAGAGAATTTGAAATGTGTTGTTAACAGCAGTAGCAGATATTGTATGTTGTTGTGTTGTACGTACTTGTACACTGCACGCAAATCAACATTTGACTCATTTACGCCACACATGGATTCCACATTTTGACTTTAGTTAGAAGGAGTAGAAGGGTTAAGACCTGCAAACTAAATTTATTACATTTTTGATGGACATTGAAATATTGACTCAGCCCCTAAACCAGAATGCAATAACCATATGCAACAAATATTTTTGAATAATATTTTCATGTATTCATATTTAGATGGCGCCTTGATCTATGTTATGTTATGTTATTTTATTTATTATCTACAAGATGAGTACATATACATAAATATGTTACAAAAATAAATATACGAAAAATACTACAAGTTATATGTATGTTAGATGAGCAAAATACTGATATGATCATAGCAGTACACTATCCATCATTCATTTAGGAATTCATATACCATTTATACAGTGATTAAGCAAACGTACTTGCATTTCATGTTGCAAACTAAGGAATGAAATCAGACAATTTGAACAAATTTACAGGTTTCAAATGTTTTTATTATTGTATTATTCCAGCCCTTTTTGTGGACCTCTTTATAGTCGGTGTATTGAAGGGCATTGTTCGTCGACCCAGGCCGACATACAACAAAAAAGAAGATATGATGACAATAGCAACAGATGTATTTTCCTTTCCATCTGGGCATGCAGTGAGGGCCGTGTTCGTGACTATTTTCTTCATTTCATACCTTGGATTGCCGTTTTATTCAGCAATGGTAATGATGTTATGGTCAGGCTGCATCTGTCTTTCACGTATATTACTGGGACGGCATCATATCAGTGACGTTATATGTGGTGTCTTGATAGGCTACCTAGAATTTATTTTACTTCAGTATTACTGGATCTCAGCGGACACATGTGACAAATATGTAGTTAGGCCAATCCAAGAGCATATCCATGTTTGAATTTAGAACATTCACATTGATGGAGCTTGTTTCTTGTGGACCAAATGATAAAAGAACCCCAAGAATTGAAGGAATCTGAATTTGGCAGTCTAAACTTTTTGATCTTGTTTTGAGATCACAGATTTTGCCTGATATTGGACATGAACTTAGAAGTGTTGTAATTGGGTCACTCTCTAAAGCAATGGGAAAGGAACATTTATCATTGCTAGAGATGTCACGGAACAAAAAAAAATTGGAACGGTTCAGTTCGGAAGATTTTGCTTCGGAACGGAACAATTTCGGAGTGGTTCGGAACAGAGTGACTGTGTGTATTAGATTAAAATAATTTGATCATCCAGGTTTATTTGGTAGCGAAAAGCTCTTCAAAACTCTTCAAAGAGAAGGAGTAAAAAGAATGAACCTCTTTGGTGCAAAATATTGAAAGAGAAATGCTGTTTTGTGGCGTTTCAAGAGCCAGAAGTTGTGAAAGGGTAAAATGTTCTTGTTCCAGAACCGAACCGAAATTCATTTTTGTTCTTTGTTCCGTTTCGAGGGCATAATTCCGAGGATCGGAACAAAATTGGGTATCCGTGACACCTCTAATCATTGCCACTTTGAATTATCATAGATTTTATGAAGATGTGAATATTGTGATGTGGGTTCATTTCACACAGCCAATATCATTTGGTGAACTTGTCAATTTTTTTGATATTTGACAGATTGGTTTGGCTTTGGTTCATGTAACTGTATTTTTATTGACATTCAAGAGTATGATTCTTTCTTGTTCCCTCAACCTTAGGGTTGGTTGTAACAAGTACTCTGTTCTATCATATGTATATTGTATTATATGTTGTATATTAGGTGTATATTTCACAATTGCACATTTTGGTAGAACTTTACATTTGAGAGTTTAGGTGTTTCAGGTTCACTACATGATTATTAATATTCGCAAAAAGGGAGGAATTAGGTCAACATAGAGATGGATCATATCAGAAGATTGACCCGTTGGCTGTTAACACATAATCACTGTACAGGGCTACCAACTATTTTTGATATTTAATATACAACTTATAAGCACTTTTTCTAATCAGATTGCATTCATGATATATTTACACAATCTAAAGAATAAAAAAGGTTGGTAGTCCTGAGTCCCGCTTCTTTTAAGTCCTGAGATGAGTCTGAATATTTCAGATGAATTGTATTTTTTTGTTAAAGATTAAACTAATCATAAATTAGTGAGACAATGCATGCATAATACAATGAACATAAAGCATACATTAGAACTAATGCATGATTCCATTGGGCATATGCAAGTAATGCATGTTCAAGCTGTATTCTGATTGGTCAGAAGTGACAATGCCTATATATGTGAGCCATTATCATGTTTTCTTGTGTTGCTTTCTAGTCATTAGATTTGTTGTACAAAGCAAAAATAAGTCATCAGTATTTGAAGCATTAGAAGAAACACATTCACGGGAGTTATCACTTAAGTTCTTTCATTAATTTTTTGTGTTATGTTGTTTAATTTATTTATATCAAAATCACAAAATAATTAATATGAAGTGTTGTAATTTTTATTTAATGTGTGTTTAATTTACTTGTATGTCTCAGTCATAAAATAAATATAACATTCAAAATAAAATTGAAATTTTAGTGAGTTTGCAATTTGTATTGAGTTATTTGGACAGCTGGTATTGTTTTGGGTGATTTTTGAACATGTTGCACATTTGAAAGGTCACACCTAAACCATGTGTCATATCACACTCCCTACACAACAAAGGACTCCAGGGGTGTATGACTTAATGGAGGATTTGTAATTAACTAATACTGGATTCTATTGTTGCTGCCATCTTTATATTGGCCCAGAACCTATGGTCACAATTGTGAATTCAGTTGCTCTACTCGCATTATAATTTGGAGACTTATCACTGGGGGTATCGTGATGCAACAACACCGTGTTGTTGCATCAAGATGGCCAGACTTCCGGTGATAGATTTTCGTACGATATGTTGTTTCCCCAATTTAAACCCATTTCTAGGACGAGTTTCTCAATAACCATACACGTGAAGTTAGCGCACGATCTATATTTAAAGAAACTGTCATTAGTATACATGTAGCATCATCAAGAAGCAAGAAGTTCACGGTTTTAGTTCCTCACTATTGATGCAACAACACCAAACCGAAGATGCAACAACACTCCTCTAGATTTGAGCAATGATGCAACAACACCAATTAATAGTATAATTTCAGAAGACCATAAATCTCGAGAGGAACAGATTTTTAAATGCTACTGTTGCAACACCGGGCCAGTACCCATTTGCGTTCTTCTCAGGCATTCAAAATACACGTCCTGTGGGCGAAGATTCTTTATATGTATTTTCAAAAATTTATACTTTTAAATATCATAATGTACTGAAAGTTGTTTTATAACATAGTTCAATCGCCTTTAACATACATTGCAAGCTATAGTAACCCAATCTATTATCATAAACCCCTGTTCCATAGTTTGATGACCCTGATACCAGTTAGTATCATTCAAAATGGTGGGCAAACATCTTTCGTTCTCGGTAAACACGACGAGCTATTGGAAATCTTGCACGGCGCACATGTAGAAGTATTGTTCTCTTTGGATTCGTTCTCCCCGATTGAGTAAAAAGGTAGGTAATAGGATTTAGGTCCCGAAAAGGTAAATTAATAGGGGTACAGTAATCCCAGATTCCCCCTGGGCCCTCGGGAAATATCATAATGTGTCCCGGAATAAAACCAATATTGAATCCCTCTCGGTAAATAACCTCTATATAATAGCATTGTATAACTGCAATATCATTAAACCTACACTCATCGGAAGTTATGGCGTTTTGAAAACTCAAAATCGCTAAATTTGGTGCCCCATGTTAAGTCAAAGGGAAAAAAAAAAATTTTTGAAGTGTAAAATACGACATATATACGACCGAGTACAGCTTAATTTAATGAAAGCCTTTAAATGAAGGGTACCTCAAAAGCAATCTAGCTTCAAAATTTGGACACAAAAATGTCTAGGTCAAAATCTAGGTCAAATTCAAAAGTTTTCCTTATTTTTGTGATTCTGACACTACACTTCAATTATATTCTTCAAAATTGTGTATACATGTAGCCAAGAGTGTACTAATAGTGTTAGCCCTTTGCCGTCAGAAAGTATTTTAACCCACTTTTGAGATATGGTGTCCAAAAAGTAGGTCAAAATAAAAAATTCACCAAATTTAACGTTTGAGTTATGAATGAAGAATAGAATTTTCTCAGGAATCAGAATCTGCAAACCAAATTTCGATCCGACTTCCGGTTCGGAAATTATGGCGTTTTGAAATTTCGAGAAAAATCGATCTGATGGTATCCTGATAGAAAGTCAAGGGTTGCCAAGAAAATGTCGAAAAATCCGTCCATCCTTCCATCCATCCTTCCTATCCTATCCTATCCTACTATTCTATCCTATCGTTCCTTCTTATTCTATCCTATCCTTCCTATCCTATCCCTTTTATCCCTATCCGTTCCTTCCTATCTATCCTTCATATCCTTTCCTTCCTATCTATCTATCCTTCCTATCCCTTCCTTCCATTCCTTCATATCCTTTCCTTCCTATCCTTCCTATCTCATCCTTCCTTGCTATTATATCCTATCTTTCTTCTTTATTCTCTCCTATCGTTCCATCCTATTCTGTCCTATCCCTCCTTCCTATTTCATCCATCCATCCATCTTTTTCTGGATGACTCGGCTTAAAAAAGTCCAAATCTGGAGTCTGAAATTGAACTTGTTCAATTTCCAAAGTCTAGTTATATTAGTTCTTTGTAAACAATTTCCATACGATACGGTAAATCAAGGGGATTTAATTTAGAAAATGAATAATCTTTATTTTTCAGATACAATATCAATGAGGTTGGCTCCCGGGGATTCAATACTTAGCCTATGTATTTAGTTTACCTTGTATATCCTTTTAACTTTGATAACATAAAGACAAATACATTAAGGAACCAAACAAAATACGTTTCATTCATGAACCACGCACTCACGCGTTTTATTCATGTCCCGACCAACACCTATGATATAAACAGAATGTGAAACAGTTTCGCTTGATATTCAATGATACATTATATTGGCGTTTTTGCATCAGCACATTGGTGTTGTTGCATCATCGATGATAAACAGAGTGGTGTTGTTGCATCAATAGTGAGGAATTAAAACGGCGAATTTCTCGCTTCTTGATGATGGTACATGCATACTAATGAGAGTTTCTTTAAATATAGATCATGGGCTAACTGCACGTGTATGATTATTGAGCAACTCGTCCTAGAAATGGGTTTAAATTGGGAAAACAAAATATCGTACGAAAATCTTTCACCGGAAGTCTGGCCATCTTGATGCAACAACACGGTGTTGTTGCATCACGATACCCCCCAGTGCTTATGCAGTATAATTTTCCACACATTTGACATGATTGAATGGAATGTATCTTTAAAGGCCCCATATAAAGTTTAAACCAGTTTGGCTTACATTGTTCTCCTTCCCTACCCAATGTTATCAAAATGTGTTAAGTGAAACTTTCAAAAAATTGATTTTGAGGGACTATTTTGTAAAAAATAAAATTTTAGTTTCATGCACATTGTTTAGTAATATTTACACCAATCCTTAACATACATCCCAACCTATTTTGTGTTTAAAAAATTAAGAATATTGTTTAAAAATTAAGCAAGAAAACTCATAAGCGCAGAAAAGTGATTCCGATTGAATCCCATGATAAATGATAAATAAATACTTAAAACATAACAAAACTTATTTTCGAACTAGATAGGCCAAGAATATTGTTTTAATAATATGTCTGAATGAGAAAAATTGAAATTTTTAAAAAAGTTTATATTATGCATAAAGTCCTAGATTTTATGATTGAAACGACCTTTACCTGATTTATTCAATGGAGTAGAGAAACTAATGAGTTTTAAAGTGTTAAGTCTTATATTTGATGATCTAAAAATCTAAATGGCATAATATAAGATGAACAATTTTTTCCCCAAATGTTATATTTTACAAAGAATGTCTCAAATAGTTTTTCAATTCCTGAAAAGTAATATTTGAATTATCAAACTATATTTTCAAACTTTACACAGTCTACAATACAGCTGTTTTTTATTATTATTTATATAAGCCTACAGGAGTATTTTGTTACAGACACCATAAAAATTGGAGACTACTGGTGGTGACATGATCAGAATTTTAACTTTGCGATTTGACTGTAAACCATGCATCACACACTCTATTTCAAGTATTTTAAGGTATAAACAGGAACGGAAAAAAAACACCTCATAATTTGGACATGTTCCCCAATCTTTGAAGGTCTTATAGACTGGGATAAGCAGAATAGGTTTGACATTATGGCAACCTGGTTGAGGACTTGATGCAAGAGTCAATATATTTTGTTTAACAGTCACGAAGAAAGAGTATATAACTCGTGTTGTATAAAAGTTAAAAATAGGATTTTGGCAGCTGGGGAAAAGTAATTTAATGCACTCAATTCTTGTATGGTTGCCTTAAAATTCTGACTTTAAGCCCTCGCTTTGAACAGCAAACACAAATCTCATGGAATAAATCAGTCCACAACTTAAATCTTTAAGCATTTTCTAATAAATACACTTAGCATTTTTTCTCATTGATTTATTTGGACACAAACTGCGAACATAAGATATAAATAAGTTGTTCAAAAATAGAGTTATATATTTATTTAATTCTTAACAACCACAACCAATAACTACACTAGCAGTAGCAGAATACTTTTAGCAATGTATTTGAAAGGAATGTGTAAAAATAGCACAATGTAAAGATCTTTCAAATATCTGCACTGTTTCTCATCTATTGCATATTATATTCCTAACCTCTTCATACATCAATAAAATTCGACAAATACACATCTACAAATAACAAATGTAGGAATAACACAATGAATGCTGAATGTTCCTAATGTAATTGAAATGTATCTATTTCGAGGGTGTATGAGTGCACTACAGGATTAAGCTGTATACTTTGAAATCATAGAATAATCTTCTATCAACTATGACAATGTATGCCTTATCATAGTCCTACATAATGATAATGTCCAGATGAATGTGTATATATGCTATTGTTAGTAATGTATTATATATAGCTTGCACAGGGTTTGGACTTCGATTCATACACTGGGTTTAATAATCCGTTGTAAATCGAAGGTATTGTTTGCCCGAAGGAACAGCCTGAACACGTACACCTTTAGGAAAGAGTGTGGCACAATCTTCAGGCTTTACAGATGGGACAACCATTGCTTCATCTCCTTGCTGAAATGGAATAATAAGTTCATGAACATTTATGATTTTTCTAGTACAATCAAAGAAGGTTCGTAACAAAATCTACTGATTTTGTAGATTGCATGCTATTCTCCTTTTGCTGGTGTATTTTAAGATCACAAATAAGCACCAAAGCCCTGTAATACATAAACTTACAGTAAAACCTATGAAATAACCTATAAGTTGAACACCTTTGGTTTACCTTTAAAACATGTTCCAACCTGGGAGATGTTCCAGTTATAGAGGTTCATTTATCATTAGTCAATTGGTCGTGGGACAAATTGACACAACGTGTACTTAAGAAGGTGTATCACTTACAGAGGTGTTCTACTTAAGTTTTATTGTATCTATATTCCCAGCTAAATTGAGGATGTAAGAACCATGCATGTTTCATTTTTGAACCATGGCTTCTGATTCATTTTCACAAGGTTTCGAGACTTGGGACATTGAAAATCCATTTTGGTACTTTCTTCCTTTGTTTTTTTTGTTCTTGAGCTGTATGTACAGGGTGTCAAATAAATATGTTCTTCCCCGTTCAACCTCAACATCCACATAATGTTGCATAACTGTTTTGCCTGCATGATATCTGAATTGTTCTTTAGCACATTAAAAGTAGGCTTCATGGAGCAACACTACAAAACGTTTCAGATGACTAGCTGAACTAGATGCACTTTTATGCCCAAATGTTTATATTATTGAAACTAGGGAGAGAACATATTTATTTGACACCCTGTATAATCTTCATCACAGGAAGATGAGCTACCATGTGATAGATGAATAGAAGTAGTCTAAAATATGATAATTATTTCTGAAGTGATTGAAATTATTTTTAAAGTGATTGAAATTATTTTACCTTCCAGTCTACGGGAGTAGCAACCTTCTTGGTAGCTGTCAACTGAAGGGAGTCTAGCACACGGAGAATTTCACTGAAAATAATTTGATTATATAAGGCACAATAAGATCTACAAGTTAGCAGCCTTTCAAAAAATTCTTTCAATCTTTCAAACTGCCAAACGTCATGCTTCACACAACTAATATCAGATCACATTTCCTAAGATATAAGGTATTAACAGGTATTAAGTCTCTCTAATATCAATACACACATTTAACAATACATATTCATTTGTGAAGATCAAGACGTATGTTTGATGAAAACAACAATTTTCATTTGGGAAAATCTAAAAATATCTGCACATTGAGTCTTACATAATTTCAATGAGATGTTAATACTCATTTGGGGGATTATTTGGTATTGCAAGGAAAACATTGCAATGTCAATTGTAAATGTTGTTTGTGATTTCCCCCTCATCTCTTCAATGTTCAACATCATCTAATAAATACACTTCACAAGTTTGCAGAGTTAAGGAATTCATGCTTTACTTGAGTTGATTGCCAATATGTTGATTTTCCCCCAACGTGCAATAATATTTCAGATGGACAACTTCTCCATCTAGAATTTTATTTTTCAAACTAAAAGTTCTTAAATCTAAAAATCACTGAACACTTAATGTAATGGACCTTTACCCCTTCAAAGTTTAGCCACTCTGAATAAACTCCATGTAATATTTGTTAACCAAATTGTTGAATAACTCTTATGTGTGTAATAAGACTAAATGCGCAGTGACTCAAGTACACGTTTGTTATCAGTGCTTGAACCACATGTTTGGCATAAGTGTATGTAACCCACAGAGACCAATCTGTACGGGTATATTGTACACTTCATGTATCATCATTTAAAGACAACAAATTATAGTGTTGTGAACATAAGCGTAGCCAAACATGAGGCAGGCGAGCCAACTGCCCCACCAAGTTTTTAGAGAAATATATTGATTCAGATATTTTTTGAATGATTTGAATATGCTTGAATATCTTTTCCTAACTGTGCTTGGTACGCAGGCCTAGACATTAATGTAATGTAAGACTTTGCTTTGAGTGTAAATTAACACATTTAATTGTAATCCTCACTGGATATATCTATATATCTTTGTTAGGAAATATTTTTTTATATATTTGACTCTCACATGTATTGCAGAACATTTCCTACTTGTACAAATGTACTTATTTGTTTATCTCCATGTACACGAAAGTATTTTGCAGGTCATGGCCTATGTTCATTAAGTTGGAATTGCAATTGACTGAGGTTTGATTGACTGAGGTGAGGGCTTAAGAAGACTGTGACAATCTTCTTTGATTCTATGTGGCCAACCTAAATCTCACAATTTTGCCAACATCACGTTACCAATTTGTATTAAAAACACAGCAAGAAACAATTATAATTTTATGCCTATGTACTTCTACCAATTTTTCCATTGTAAAGCAAAATTTGATCAATTGTTTTATCTGATAGGACTCCTTACAATCCCCCCCTTGTGAACTTGATCTTTTTCCATCTTTGTGGTTAATCTTGTGCTATTCTATGAATTGGACCACTGAGTACTAGTAAGTCAGATCTTGATTGTAGGACAAGGCACATTTAAATCATGGTTACTTACTTGAAATTTCTTCCAGTGGTGGCTGGGTAAAGCATGGACAGTTTGAGTTTCTTATCTGGTCCAATGATGAATACCTACAACAGAATACACATAGTGCATACAATTGTCTCAAAACCTGCATTCTCTAGTCTGCATTCTACACTAATGTCAGACAGCTATGAAACATGAATAGCCTTGCAGAATCCTAATATGTAGAATTTATATTTCCCATGGAAAGCAGTAAAGGATTTCCAATTTTTTGTCCTTTAGAATTGGCATTTTTTCTTCGCAGAAAACAGAAATATTTGATAAACTGTAGTACATGTATATTGTTAAAGGATAAACTGTTACTATATTCAAATATCTCTTTTGGCACAAAACTCATTTTACATTCCAAATATTTTCCCAGTCAATCATTAAATGCATAGGGATCCCTGGAAACACATGTCGGATTTAAAAACCAACTCAATATATTTATCTTGGCCAATAAAAGTAAATAATAAATAAATAATTATGGGATAGAATTACTAGCAAAGTAAAGATTAGGATAGCATCAATAAATCGCTTTACTATAAAAATCACAATTCATCAATATTGCATGTTTCCTCTTCCTTAGCATCAATGACATTGTCAATGTCTTTGTCAATAGTACTATGTACATAAAATAAGGAACTTCAGCGTGTTTGACAAAATTATTCCAGAGTATGTATACATAGATTTGACATATTTTTGTTCAATCCAGTAACTAGTGGTGTCAATTAACCGCTTGAGCATTAACCGGTTAACCGGGGGTTTTCACCGGTTAAAGTCGGTTAACCGGCGGGAAATTTGAACTGATAATTTCAAATGAAATCTTCAGCTTCGATCTTGAAAGTTGAAAAAAATTGGAAAAATGATATATCGGCGTTTATTTTCTACGTTCGTCAAGCTTTACTCTATTCTATGTAAGTAAGCGCGGGAAAGCAATGTGGCAGGGATTAAAGTTGCTGATTGGATGTTTGTAAGGAATTATCGGACCTATTACATGTATGAGTAGCTCACATGAAACTGACGCTTGAAAAACAAACCGATTAAAATGCAAAGTAAGCGCGGGAAAGCAATGTGGCAGGGATTAAAGTTGCTGATTGGATGTTTGTAATGCGTTATGGGACTTATGACATGTATGAGTAGCTTACGTGAAACTGACACCATAAAACCAAACGGATTAGCATGCAAAATAAGGGCGGGAAATAACAGAATTATACACGGTCAACTAACCGCCCATAAAAACACAGACCGGTCAAGGCATTATCGGCGGTTAACCGGTTAACCGGTTAATACTTGACACCTCTACCAGTAACTACTAATATAATGGTGAGAAAATTGTATTTTCAATGCTTTTGGCTGAGATTTTATAACAGAGCATTGATTTAATGGTAATTGTGATTTGCCTAAATCTCAAACTCTTTGATGCTCTGTTTTAAAGACACTAACTTTTTGGAAGTGTGAATTCAGGAAAAAAAGAAACACATATACTTAAAAAGAGCTTGCTTCAAGCCCCTTTGACTCCCCTAAATATTATGCAGTGTAGTTAGGGGGATCCAAAGACTTGGTCTGTGACTGGTGAAACATACATAGATAGTAAAACTCTGAGATTCCGCGTTGATGCAGATAAATCGCAGAATTTGGGTTTTCAAAAATTTTGCAGAATTTGAATTTTTTGCATGGCATTTCACAGAAAACATGATTTTTCCAGTCAAGCAACTCATCTCATCTTTGTCACTCACCTTGACACTTTAGACAGTCATTTGTCACTAGAAACTGGTGTTATGAGGATTTTCGAATGGAAAAAGTGAAATCTGTTTAAAATTCTCAAACTTCTGGCTTTTGCACTTGAAGGCTACGTCTAATATGTAACGAAATTTGAATTCCCTGCAATTTTTCTCATGCAGAAAACTAGGATGTGTGAACATATGAGACGGTGCATTAGTGTTTACTTACTGCTCTGCAAGTGAGTGGAAGACCAGCTGCATCTTTCTCATCTGGATCTACCATACCAAGCTGGACAGCCAGCTCACGGCTGGGGTCTGCAATGATTGGGTATGGGAAACCTTCTTCATTTTTCACATAGGATTTTATGTCCTGAAAAGTAACATGTGCTCTGTTATACGTGTTTTCAAATGATTCGAGTAAGGGCACATTATTGTAGTCAATGATATTGGACATATATGGTGTTTCAAAGTTGCTTTGCAACAGAAAAGGAGGACTCCAAGTGGTGGTGTCAAAGTGGGGATATCATGAATTCCGTATCCTTCAAGTAGAAGAATACAGGATCACATCGGTCAATCATATTTCAACATCATTGAATAAGAGATGGTGTCAACAGTCATGAAAAAACGAAGTTAATTTCATTATGGTTTGCCCACTTTGCTCGTAAAATGAAATTTTGAAATGTTGATTTGTCCTTCAATTGAATTTTATGAATATCAACATTCTTCTATAACAAAATCTTTAACCCCCAAATAAAATTAACTTTGTAATTCCACAACTGGTGATAATTAGACACTATCCCTTCATGTGTATGCTTCTCATGGTTGGACATGGAGGTGGACGAACGTATAATCACAGCCCTACAGATTCAGGAAAAATACGATACCCTCTGGGAAATATTAATTACTAGACGAGATACAACAAAAAGAGTGACAACAACAGGTGAAATTTTTCAAAATTCTAATTCTAACTTGATAATTCATGTACAGTAAAACCTGTCATAGTAGAACACCTTTGGCTTCTCTAAAAGTGTTCTACATGGTTGGTGTTCCACTTATAGGGGTTCATTTAATATTTATTCAGTTGGTCTTGGGAAAGTGTTCCACTTAGAGAGATGTTCTACTTTACAGGTTTCACTGTAGTTGCAAAATTATTCTAAACAGGTATTTATTCTGCAATTAATAAGAAAACATGCCAGAAATAGAGGGGACTTTTCTGTATATTCTGCCATGTTTTGTACATGGGAAACCACTTGAAACAAGATATGTGTAGAATCTATTTCTGAAAAAGTGTTACGTTTCCCTTACCTCTGCCCATCCCTTGTGGCTCTCTACATCGTCACATGAGAGAGCAGCAAGTTTCACTCCACGTTTCTTAAACTCTGGCACGAGCTGAACAACACGTCCTAACTCTGTGGTACACACAGGGGTGTAGTCAGCAGGGTGAGAGAACAAGATAGCCCACCTGGAATAATAATACATGATTAATAAGTGGTTATAGTCATGACACATGCATATAACCAACTTTCATTTGGGGCGGGGGGGTTCAAATTTCTATATGCTAGAAAATGTTTCAACTAGCAGCGATATAATATATTTGATGTACATGCTGTCATTGGTATTAGTTTAACATGGTTATCATGCAAATAAACCATTAAAGCAACATAGTCCAGGATAGTCTATTGATATTATGAATGATAACCCACATGCGTAACCACATTAAATCATTATTTGGGTCAAAAGTTGGTCCTCACCTGGCAGTTTCCCACCTCAAAGAGTGTGAGGCAATAAAGTAAAATGTTAATTGGGACACTTTTTATTGGGTGTTCATTATTATTTCAGGTGACAAATTTTTCATTTGGGATATAACAAATATATACAGTACTGAGCCTGTAATTTGGAACTGCCAGTCGAGGACCAACTTTTGACTTAAATATTAATTGTTTACTCATGTTGCTTTAATGACTTATTGTCAAAAAATTACAAAAATTACTTATTCCAAAGCAACAAGCATTACTACTGAACTTACAAGACTGGTCACTGTGTGGATCAGAATATAATAGATCTAATTGAGCATCGCTCCTATACTTGTTTATTTTTTATAAATATGAAGAGATGTCTGTTCAGGTCATTGAACTACTGGAATGTATGTACAGGTACAGTATAAAGGAATATTGATAAAATATAAAAATAATGTAAAGGCCAGTTGATTCACACTCAAATCTTGCTTGCAAATGATATACAAAGATGCATGTTCTGGGGTGAAGCCTTATAGTATATAAAAACTCTTATATGCCCTTATACTGGTGAACTATTTATTCCATTCCATATCCATATATTTATTTATTAGATATTTTTAATTCTTTTGCCAATATAAATATATAAAAACAACATGGTTGGTATAATTCAGTGACTTTGTTTTCAACATTATATCAAAAAGTATTAGACCTTTTACTTGAATAACAGGTTACAACCTTAGAAAAATATTTATTTTTCTGTAATCTTATGTATTAATTCCGTATTAACCCCTGTTTGAGTAAATAGAAAGGGGGTATAGTTTCACTTTTGTTATAGTGCTGCCCAAGGTACTTTCATTATGGTTTGATCCAAAAATGTAACATTACCATAACAGTTTTTTGACTTCATATACTGATTGATAATATGGGCTTGATCATAATAGTACAAACAATGCTGCAGTTTTGTCAAAGGCTGCTATTGCTAAATGTAACCAAAGGGAGAAAAAACAACTTTGTTTTCTGAATTATAAAATCAAATTAAATTTATGGTCACACTGCATGCTACATACTTAAGGCTCTAGATGATTCTAGAAAATTTAACTATTACAAAGGGATATGTACATGAAATGAAAACAGTTCACATTTGTACAATTATTAACTTCATACTATCTAAGCAGTCAAAAGGTTGAACATGTAAGATTTGTTTGTTTAACGTATTGCATTCCCTTTGGCAATACAGCGTACCAATGATAATCTTATAGTTTACAGTCCAAGTTCTGATCCGAGTTATATAAAATATCCTAAGTAAAAGAACTTTGGAGTTCAAGAACAATATTGCGAAATGCAACAAAATTGAAATGCTAAATATACTAGTGCAACCATGTTATTGATTGTGTCCAGTTTTGGAGAACCAACAATTCAGTTGGCAATAAGAATTGTTGTAAAATACTAAATGTTACTGAACATTATTTTACAAATTAAGTTTTTCTTAAGCGAAAAAGTTCTAAGATGTTTGCACTGGGTAAATTTGTTTGTAGAGACACAATAAATGATTTCATTTATTTTCATTTGATTTATTGGTCTGCAAGTGTGAATTTCATGGTAACTTATACCCCCAGACAAGCTATTGTATTTTTAACGACCTTGGCATTGAGCATAAGTAACAACTGAATTCAAATACCTGTAAATACTTGTGTTGTCAAAAACACCTTTAAGAAAACAAATTGTGTATTGATTGATCCTGACGCTGTGAAAAGTTTTGGAAATTTATTGAAGAACACAAAATATGACATTATAACATTATAACTAGTGATCAAGTTGAAGGACACGAATGATCCCAGTCACGTTTTTACTTAAGTAACAATAACAGTGAAATCATGATCATAATATAAGCTAGCTGCAGTATGACTTAAACCTAGACTCATCATTTCTGTTTTGTCAACATGTAATAACACGGGGTACCATCGAATAATTTTGGCAACGTACCGGAGAACGACATTTTACTAAGAAATGACAATAATTTAGCACAATATATTTTTTAGCTAGAGTTCTATTTTGATTTTGACAAAAGTAAGTATTCCATGCAATAACTATTTCATTCATGAGTTTGTAGGAATTCTGTTGGAACCCAGTTCTGATCAAGTACGAAGTTATTGAAATCGGTGCAGACGGATTTTACTCCGAAAGATGGTTTTTCGATTATAACTTTTCACAACATTTAAGTATAGACTTTTGAAAAAAGTACAGAATAGTCCTTATACTTTTGAATAATTCTGTTATTTCTGATTCAAACGACTCTGATTTGTTTAATTAAAAAAAAAGTTTTAAAAATATTACTTAGGAACATAACCGGAGCTGGGAACGTAACCGGAGCAGATCAGTTGAATTATTTAATCAAAAAAATTAAAATATATGATTTAAAGCACATATACTAATTTAAAAACATACGGGATTGTTCGAATGCGTATTTATTAATATATATGCTTTAAATCATATATTTTATTTTTTTAAATTATATAATTCAACTGATCTGCTCCGGTTACGTTCCCAGCTCCGGTTACGTTCCTAAGTAATATTTTTAAAACTTTTTTTAATTAAACAAATCAGAGTCGTGTGAATCAGAAATAACAGAATTATTCAATAGTATAAGGACTATTCTGTACTTTTTTCAAAAGTCTATACTTAAATGTTGTAAAAAGTTATAATCGAAAAACCATCTTTCGGAGTAAAGTCCGTCTGCGCCGATTTCAATAACTTCGTACTTGATCAGAACTGGGTTCCAACAGAATTCCTACAAACTCATGAATGAAATAGCCATTGCATGGAATACTTACTTTTGTCGAAATCAAAGTAGAACTCTAGTTAAAAAACATATTGTGCTAAATTATTGCCATTTCTTAGTAAAATGTCGTTCTCCGGTACGTTGCCAAAATTATTCGATGGTACCCCGTGAATAAAACACAATGAAGTTTAATTACAATGTACTGTGTAAAACGAGTGTTAATTTATGAGGGTCATGTTGCCCTTTTTCATTTCCTCAATTCATTAATGTTATGTATAATATTATAAAATCATCACAATTGAATCCTGGAATTAGACCCTATAGCCATTCTGATACTCATCACATCTTTCTACCTTCAATTAGAAATAAGGTACAAGAAGGCCATGATTTCTCATGATGCCCTCTAAGCAATAGAAACAGATAGAGCAAAAGGATAATTTGAATTTCATAGAATTATTTTCAATTTATCTCAAAGTTCAACTCTTTATGAAGAATATTTCTGTCGGTAGTAGTGTTGTATCGCTCTTGTATTTTTTTTTATATCACGCTGATTTTCAAGGTGAAAGATATACTGATGCAACAAAATATGTGAAAACAGATGAATTCAGAATAAAAAAACACATGGTCATTAACATAAATTGTCCCCACAATGCATCACATTAAGGGCAAATTTTCATTGGTCTGTTGATCGATCGTTGTAACACAGAGCAAAATGGTGGAACAACAAAGCTTGGGAGAATTTCCCAGAGAGAATTTGGGTGTATTTTAAATTTATACTTGGATTATCAATGGATGGACTCAATATAACAAAGCCTCAATGTATATGTAGATGCATGGTATAGTAAGCTCTCAAAATCGTATAGTACAATAATTGTAAAATGGTATTTTGAGATCCAAAATGATGAAATGGAAATTGGATTTTGAAAATGTCTATTGATATCATTTTAGACAAGTACCCAGATTCATCACAGATTCCGAAATCTATGTTATATCTGCTGTGGATAACATATTTAGTTATTTTACTCTAATTACAAGTCATTATAGTGATAAAACATGAATATATAAACCTAAATGTGCACTGAGCAGTATGTCACCACACTCACATACCTCAGAGTAGTTCCAGATGTTTAAGCATTAAAACCATATTTTTGCATATTGTTACCGACCTCAAAATTAAAGGTGCAACAATGAGTGCAAGACTTCAGGGCCGTCAGATGGGGGGGGGGGGGGGGGGGGGTGCGATTGGTGCGACCACAACCCCCTTTGACACCCCCCAAAAAAAATTTTAAAAAATTTAGTAGACAGTGAAATGAAACTTTCCTGAAAAAAGCAAGGAAATACATACATGCCTTCATACTTAATTTTGTACCAGAAAATAACATGTGCAGATATAGCAATTTTTACCAAAATGTTACTTTCCAGCTCAAGCATCCATTTACTCAAACACATTAAAAGTGCTCAGAACTAACCAGACAGCATCTTGAATTAGTAAAATTTTCCTTGCTGCCCCCTTGCTCCCCTAAGAAGAATATGATTGAAAAAATCTGAATTTCTTATGAATTGATTCTTTTTCAATTAAAACACTTATCACTGAATGTGATCTTGAACTGGTAAAAGTTCTCAGGCATTTATGCCCTTCAGACCCTAAGATTCCCACATGCCAGGATGCCAGCGGCGCCTAGTTTTAGTGGCTGGCGTGCTTCGTCACAAAATACAAGTCCCCCTGGCGTATTTCAAAACGACCTATGAGCTTAGCTTGATTGACTATATACGTCATTATTGGTCATGGTTTCCCTGATCCGCGGTAATATGAATAAAAGTTTGAAACTTCAATTTCATTTTTCATTTTGTTTTTCCGTGGATGCTGATCCAAACAGGTAAGTAAGTCGCATCCTCATTGGTTCAAAATCAAAAATTTGCTTACTTCCGCTCGCACACGTCAGTAAG